AGCCCGGTTATATCACCCGATATGATGCTATCACCAAATGGGACTATAGTTATATCAGTTAGTATAATATAATATAGCAACTGCTATAACATAGCATAGCACCAGATATGATATATCCTACCACTGGATATAATAGACGCAGGTATATAAGGAACAGTTATTACAGATGTAAATAGTTTTAGTTAGTATATCTTATTTTTGGAGTTAATAGCACTATACAGCACTATCTCTACCTTTCGGAATCAAGCACTGCATTTCACTAAACATCCTCTTATCTCTTTATTGTTAACAGAATACCCTCAGATCTCCTGATCTTAGGAAGGATTGGTAGACCTGATCTGACAATACCCTTCTGTTAACCACACTGAATCTCTGTCCGGGGTTGGGCGCCTGTCCATTAATTTCAGGGGTGATAGTTTCTAATAAATAATTAGTATATACTACATGTATACTTAAGACCCACTTATCCTTAGGTGGAGTCTAGTCTGTATTAGTATTAGGGATGGGGCCTGTATATGTTTAGTATTAAGAGTTATATACTAAGGAGATGCGAACCATAATACTACCCCCTAGTAGTAAAGGGGTTGGCGGCCTCTCGGACCTATGGATTGTTAAAGTCTGTAGTAGTGTAAACTATTTTTGGTATGTGCAGGACAGATGCTAAAATAAAAAAAAATACTAAAAAAAGCACCTATATTAGTTAGCTAACCCGACATATGCTTTTAAAACAATATAAAAAACTAAAAAAAAGTAATATACTCTGCATATACTCACGGTGAACAGTGGGTAGAATAGAGGAGAGGAAGATTAAATATAAAAAATGTTGAAAACCAGGATGCCTAAGGCACCTTCGTATATCCTAGTCCCGCAGCGATGTGATATATCATATTCAGGGGCTAAGAGACACGTAGACATGGGGAAGCGTTTGTCTATGTTCTCTCTCCTAGATAGTTAAATATACTCACCATGCGATACTAGATCGCACCGATAGTTTCAATATACTATCCAGTCACCGCTATCCTAGCACCTCACGACATAGCTTCTTCCCCGAGATTCTCAACAAAAAATTGTTTTATAGTATGTTAAAGAGAGATATATATCTTAAAATCTTAATAACTAATTACAGCACAATCTAGAACATAGCAAGTAAATCTTTATTATATTACTTATTATATTACCCAGGGTTACGCACTGTAAAACCAAATAGTATTATTAACTATTTAATTAGGAAGTGGTTAAAGATTTACTGTTTTATTTTTATAAAAACTCCTGCGGTGCAAGCCTGCCGCTTTTGTGGTTGTCCTGCCTGTTTGGGTCCATGGACCCGCCGCATCGTGCCCCATCGGGGTTACCGTGGTTCTGAGAGTGGGAAAATTACTGAATACAGTTAGCCTACCTTCTTTAACAGGAAAATGGCGTTTGCCGCTTTGAGGGGAACTTCTCGCTGCTTTATCGTGAGTCTTTCCCTTACTCCGACTGCATCGGTCTTTGGAGTCCTGAGGGCAAAACATACACTCCCCGAATTTGCGGCACCGCCTTCCAGAAACATTCCATATGCCCTAGGACGGCTTCATCGGGCCGCGGGCTTGTAGGGGATATGCTCTTGGGCTCGGACGACCTGGCCAACTTGAGGATGGAGCCGGTTGCTGCAAGGGGCATGGAATACGACGGGCGCTTCATTACATTGCTTGCAGTTCCATAGCTTTGAACCCGAGCAGTATATGAGACCAGACTGTACTGCGTGTTTGTACCGTTGACTTCCGCCTTTTCCCTCTGCTTCTGCTTTCTTATACACCTCTCCGAGACGGATAGTACGTTACTATGTCTACTACTGGAATTTCCTCCTGGAACGCCGCTAGTTAAACTGATTACCGAGTCAAAAATTCTCACGGGATGTTAGAAAGAGGCAAATGCGATCGAGGAATACGGTTATTTCGCTAATTGGAAGAGAAATGTCCAATCGGAGACACACTCAGCCCTCCATTTCTTCTGTCGGTGGAACCAATGACCCTTTTTGTTGCAGGGGCACCTTCCGGAGGAAGTGCAGCATACAGTATTCCTTCGGACTTGCGGCATTCTTTCAGGTTTTAGACCCCTCCAGTCCCCTAGTGTGGGGGTAATCCTCTCACGGCTTTTCAAAAAAAATGTCGAATATTTTGCATGTAACTGTGCCGTGCGGCATCTTACGGACAGTAAAATACGGATTGGTAGCCGGTGGTGGTTGGCAAGAAACTGATCCCGTTTACCGCCCTGATGAAAGTTCGCCACAAATAACCCCAAGGCTTTCCGGGATTTGACCAGCTGCTTTGGATATATAACAGATCCCTCGGAGGATTATTGGGATATGTGGAGCTACAGATGTCCTGTATTCATCTTACTTTCTTGCACTGTTCCCTCCCGAATTACCCTTCTCTCCCTGTGACGCAAAACAAATTATCCCCTGTCCTTGGATTTCCCCGTTTTGGTTTACCAGATTGCTTTCAAACCCCCTTCAAGCTATCTGTGACACTCAGTTTCCCAGACATGCCCCGGATTCGATTTCGTGAACCACAAACCCCTCATTCAAACAACAGGAAGCTTTTATCACTAATTCTACTACAGAGAGAAACTGAGAGCGTTGGCCTCAAGCAATGTTCTTACCTAACATACAGCCTGCAAACCACCCTCTTCCTAGGAAGCCACCAGTTGTGATTCAACAGGATGGTCTATTGCCTTCAGGTGGCGGACTGTTAGAAACAAACGCTGTCAGCAGCACTCACGTCAATTCTGTCGCGGAGGTTGAGAGAAGTCCCATTATGGAGGTAAGGTCTGAACCACGGGTCGATGGTATTTCAAGGGCATCAAAAAGTACGTGTCCATTAAAGTCCTGCTTATCGGAGATATTGTTTACACATCACGGAGCAGATACACTTAACTCCAACCCTAATCCTGAGACAAAGAAGCGCGTCCTCTTACAATAAAGGGCCATGCACAGGAGATATTAGAAATGTGCCGTTATCACTCCTGTACTTGACAAGCAGGAAGGCCGAAGGTCCTAGCTGTCCAAGAATGGGAGGAGAAAAGTTTGAAAAAATGTAGGTTGCTCTAGCCCTTAATATTGACGGTAGTGCAAGAGTACAGAGTATTTACATAGTCTTTTTGTAATCAGTGAATGACTCCCTTTCCAAGTCGCGGACATGAATACTATTTGTAGACTGAAAATGTCTTGCATACGAAATAGCCTCAACGGTCTCACAGGCAAGACCTATGAAATCCTCCGTGTCTAACCAAATGAGGCGAATATATTCTCTGTAAGATAACAAGATAACATGCTAGCTTCCATGGTTCAAGTATAGCGCGCACTGAAGTGTTGGTCCCTCCTGAACCGTCATGCCCTGGCCCTCAGGAACATGTATATTCATTTAGCGAAGACAACAATGATCCAACAGACCTAGACTTTCCAGGTGAACCCAGCAGTGCTGACAAAGAACCATCGGACCCGATGACTCCTCGGCTTGGACGACGTAAGACTACCAGAGCACAAAGACATATACCAGAGCTACGTCCGCAAATGAAGCATCTGCAAACTGACAGGAATGGCAATGTCTCCGAAAGAACGGCCAAAAGGCAGAAAAATAATCGAAAACAAGACGCCTCGATGTTTGCATCCATGACCGGCGAGCACGAGCACAGATCTGAGGCTTCTCTGTCTACTTCTCTGTCTTCCAGTCACGACTCGGAATCTGGCTGGTCAGAAGAACCCTTTGAATCGATAACATTGTCTGAGCAGAACAGAATTCCCATTCATGGCTATCTTGAGCTTTCCCCTGGGAGCCTCGGAAATTCCTTTGTTCTTAGGGGTTTTTTACCCAGTCAACGAAAAGACGTCCATGCTAGCATGGGCAGTTGGTCTATCTTTGATGAGAGGTGCGGCAGAGCTGATCTTAGTGGCACCTTTAACAACGACTGTGGTAAGAAAAGGGCAGGTGGCCGATTTACAAAAGGGGAAGATGAACTTATTACAATATTAAAGAGTCAAGGAATGGCGTGGAAAGATATGGAGCGTTTTTTTCCTTATAGAAAGATGACTGCGCTGCAGAGTCGCTGGTCACGACATCTCCAGTACAAGGCAAACAACAAGCGACGGGGGAAATAAGTCTCGGTTATCTCATGGTTATTACAGTAAAGGCTGACAAGCTGAAGTTTTCTTGCGGAATAGGCACCGAGGCATGGGAACTGATAATCCCGCAAATGTTAGTGAAAAATGTTAGAGAGCTATATAAAGGCTCAGCTTCAATAAAGGCCCACTGGGGGCATCTTGATCATCGGCTATCTATCAATTAATGTATTTCGTCTTCTATCGATGGCTGTATAATATGTAACCCCATGGCCTGTGTAGTTCCGGATGCAATAATAACAGTATAAATTACATCGTAGCCAAAAGTTCCATGGAAAGCTGATTTCGAGCATGACCATGACTTGTTTACTAGAAGGAAGCTGCGACTGACACTCCTTGTGTAGTTCAATAGTAAGGTGCAGACACAAGCACCTCGACATCTCTTAAGGGACTTATCCAAGCCTATTTCTCTACAGAAAACACCCTCCACGGGTGTGTACCCCAGGATCTATCTACCTGATTTTAGCAACTGGCAGATGAGGATTGTGTGCATGGCAGGTGGCCTGTCTTCCTCAATGAAGTAGAAGGACCTGTACGAGGATCCGGAGGTTGGTTCTGTCTCCCCTAAGTCGAGGCAACGAAGGACCCCCACATGATCAAGACTTTGTGACTGTGTACTGTAGCAAGGTAAAATTGCCATCGGAAGCGAGTGCGGAAGGCCTTGATTGTCCTATAGAAGAACTACAATCTCAAGCTGTATTCGTCCTTTACTGGGAGGCTTCTTATGTATAAGGTCAAGTTTGCCTTTAAATTTCCTTTCAGCTAAATAAAGAGCAGGCCAATTGAAAGAAAGACCCCAGAATAGCGGGACAAAATATTCTTCAACAGGTAAAACACCGGACAGTTAATGCAACTTAACAATGTTCTCTACTGCGCGTTCATAGTCCATAAACACAACAGTAAACAGGAGAGGAAGGGAGAAGTGCATAGTATCTTGTGTTAATCAGTATGATATGACAAACGTGACCGCTTTTTCTTAAATGTCGTGCACCAGTACACCTGTATGGATTCCCTACTCCTCCCCGGAAACGTTTGTGCAAAGCGTCTTGCCACCTCCGACCAAGCCAGGTTTTGTTCCTCTCTAAGCTTCACCAAAAGACGGTCTTCCTCTACAGACCAGGGTCGGCCCTTTCGTGTGGGATGGGCGTTGTGGGTGTGAACTGGTTGGGTAATTAAGGTTTGGTAGTCGCAGCCAAGATCATATGCTATTGGCGTGTCAAGATCAGGACTGCTGCTGAAGGTAGATGCGGTATTCATGTCTAAAGACGTAGAAATGCAATGTGATAAAGCACCCTCAAACAGCCAGGACAAGAATTGTAGTCGATCTTCAACTGACATGGCCAAGAACTGAGAACGAAAGGCGGGAAAAGCAAGATTCTTGCGGCGTTTAGCGCCTGACTTGGGAGCCGAACTGGTGCCATTTCCGATGTATCGCTTCCTAGCGTTCAAACGTTTCGCCACTCTTGGATACTGGAGATCAGGCATTATCATGTCCTCTGCACCGTGTCGGCTTGACTGTAAGGGCGGATCTGTACTGGGAAAGCAAGGGCTCTGTGACAGATGTCCGTCTGTAACAGCAGGATCCTGACTTGCTTGGATGTGCTCGGTACGCGGGAAGATATTATTGTTTATTATTGCAGGATCAATATTCTCGGTGCCTGGTAGGACTTGCCTTAGCAAAGTGTCCTCAGAGCTGAAAGTTTGAGGGTGAGGATCGGCGGAGGTTGCTCGCTCCAAATCCTCTAGCTCATCTCGAGTGGTTTGAGCATCTGAATGCACGCCATTATCCATGCAAACCTCCACTGGCGGGCGGGCAGGAAGGGGATGCCGTTCAGAGTTATAGGAATAGAACTTCGGAGACTTTAAGACGGTGCCGCTAGGATTGGACGGGGCCAGGTTAGGAGTCATTGAGACAGGACTTGGATAGCGACAAATATCAGGGAGATCAGGCAGTAACTGAGCTTTGTCTTGGAACGGACTGCGTGGTCGAAATTTTTCAAGAGAAGCACTGATATTTGCCATGCCAAAAGCAAAAAGTGTAGAGGGCTGGAGGATTGTTGGGAATATGGGAATTGGAAACACTCAGTAAAGTCCGATGAGGAAACAAGGGCCAGGGATTGGGGATAAGGGGCACTGGGGAGGGAAAGAGGACGTGAATGGGCTACTCACTGAAGTCCAATCTTGCCGTTTGAACGAGAAAGTGGTATCTTTTATAATCGATGATTGTACAAAGCGAATCGCCCCATTCCCAAATGCTGAAAAGCCCAGAATGGCCACTTCATTCCAGATGGGTTCCGGCGCACCTACAAGGCTCGGAAATTGTAGGTCACAAGGTAGGCCTCTCCCACGCAAAATCTAATCCAAGATTCACCCTCTACAACAGAGCCCTGGCCGCGCAACTTTACCTCTATCGACAAACAACCAGCCAATGAGCTCAGTATAGAGTCACAGACAGCAAAGCCGGGAATCTTTCCACTATCCTAGCAAGCATCACTACTGTACATCGCCGATCTAATTGAGGAGTGAGCCGAGGAGGACATGAAAGAGGGGGAAACAAGACCGGGGGCTACTGAGGCCTTCGGCTAGGTAGACGACGGCCGCATTCTTGCGGCAGGGCAGACGGAGCAGGAAACGAATGCTAAGCTACAGCGGGCGTGTGTGAAGGCACAGAGATGGGCCACCAAACACGCCTCTGTCTTTGCACTGGCCAAATACAAGCTGCTACACTCTGTTAATCCGAAGGCAAACGTGCTACCGCAGCATACACCACTACCGTTGGGAGCCATCACAGTGGGGTCATCCAAGGATGCCCAGCAGTATCTGGGTGTCTGGCTAGACCCCGAGCTCATGTTCGCTACTCACAGTGCCAAGGCAGGGAAGAGTCTCGTGACGCTTCGGGGTCTCAGGGGGTCGACCTGGGGCGCGTCTCTGGGGGCCATTCGTCAGATATATCAGGCTGTGGGTATCCCGCAGATACCATACGCAATGACCACGTGGTTCCAGCCGGGAATCGTGATGGCCAAGGAGAGGGGTACAGCCATTCGGCAGTTTGCATCGACAGAGAAAAGAGTAGCAGTCATGATTAGTGGTGCTTTTCGGACTACGGCTACGGAGGCTCTTAATACTGAGCTCTATCTGCTACCCATGGGGCTCCAGATGGAAAAGCTCGCCAAGGAGACAGCGATACAGATTGCTACAGGGCCACAATATGCAGTGTCGTGCGGTATAAAGGTGCCCCACGACGGGGAGGAGAAGGGGCTCAGTGGGTGGACGCCAATGGAGGCACACCCCGGCAAGCGCGGCGGGTGTCTTAGGCTGCCACGAAATGTCAAGGAGAGATGGGAGACGAAGCAAGCGTATGTCACGGAACCGTGGCATACGCCTCCGGACCTGGTGATTGAGGACTGCGTCGAGGCAAGGAAAGGTCACGACCAAATACTGCAGTGAACCAACAAGCCGCTGTCTGTCTTTACCGACAGCAGCGGCTACGAGGGCAATGCTGGCGCCGCACACTACCTGCAGACACAAAAGATTGATTATCTTGATCCAGTAACTACAACCTCGGTATACGCAGCAGAACTACGGGGTGTTCAGATGGGGTTGGAGATGGCGAAACGGTGTCACGGGACGGTGGAGGAGTTACATCTGCAATGAGGTGCAAATATTCTGACAGCCAGGCGGTTCTGAAAGCGATCAGGTGACTTCGGTTAGTCTCTGGATAGGAGATCCTATGGGGATGTTGGAGCTGCTCCGTTGATGTGAAGAGCAAGGCATCCGGGTGACAGTGCGGTGGATCCCGGCTTATTAGGGCGTGCCTGGGAAAGAGGCAGCCGACCAGCTTGCCAAACAGACAGCGCAACGGGGATCCTTACGAGTACAACAACTGGTCATGCTGTAATCGGCGGCTAAACGAAGGATCAGGGAGGGGTCAAAGGCCAAGTGGGCGAAGGCATTGCAACGGGCAAGGACAGGAGGACCGAGTAAGCGCCTATCAAGGCGCCAGAGAAGGGCGTCCTGCGGTACAGGGGAAGCCTCCGAAAGGCAACTGGCTCAGTGCCCATGCAGATGCGTACAGGGAGGATTGGAATCAACAGATATCTCAGCCGTATTAACGTGCGTAAATCGGCGCGCTGCGGTTGCGATCTTGACAACCAAATGCCTAAATATCTGCTTATGGCGTGTTCAATTCCGACCAACCTGCGAATGGATCGATGACGGGAGCTTCGACAGAATGGCTGTGCCGGTGTCTGGATGGAAGACTACGAATCGGTGATACAGGAGACAAAGACAAGCGTGGCAGTGGCGGATTTTATGATGGAAACTGGCCTGCTCGGGCAGTTTCAAGCGGTAGATTCTGCAGCGACAGGGATCACCAACCAAGCGCAGGACGAGATGCCTATCTCGCTCGCACGAGATAACCAACAAGGACATTAGGCTGCTGCCTGAAGTGAGTTAATATCAGCGGACGCAGGACCAGGTCACCTGTGGCCGCGAAGCAGATCAGACAACAGTCCAGAGATACGCAGACGGCACTGGGAATGGCTAAGCCTGTGGTCACGGAGTCAGGGGATGCCCGACAAGGTGGTGTAGTGGGAGCTGCTAACTACGAAAGGCTTCGACACGCGTCAGAATTTAACACGACGCAGAAGCGTATAGTTCTGGAGTACGCTAGTTTTCTCGAGATGCTATTAGATGCAGAGCCGTGGTTGTAGTCGGCCAGGAGCTTTTTCAGGCGTTTGTTGCTCAATTTGAATGGTTCTTCTGGATCTTAAATCTCTAATCTAAGTACTACTGTCTTTCGTCGCATATTGTAGCATCCACTATAGGTACTAACCCCGAGAGTGCTTTATCCCAGTCACTGGAGCCCAGATTAAAGAACAAGAGGCCTGCCGTTCCTCTCATATATTCGGGTGTGTTCAATACCAACACGGCCTATTTAAATCAAACTTACAATTCCGGTGGAGGTGTTAAATATTATCACCTTCATAGCCAGTGACGAGGGTCAATGGGTAAACGGGCAGATTTTAAGGATCAATGGCGGCATGACGGCTAGCTGATGGAAGCTTGATTTGTCCTGGTGGGTGGGTATTGAGCTTTTTATATCGATAACTTTTTGAACGTGTTTGATGAAAGTAAATGACTATGATTGGAGTCGGGCTTTGTTAGATATTGCAATAACCGCCAAAGTTACCTTCCTACAGGCGAATAGCTCGAGAAGCAGCCGTGTTGTATTTCAGAGTAAGATTGATCCCCGTTTTTGCTCTGAACAGCCATAAAATGTGCATGTCTATCGCAATATGTTGGCCTTTGAGATACTTCACACATACAAAGATCCAGGCTGGGCTACTCATGCCAAATAACACTCCATTGATCGCAGTTCTGGAGAATGAGCCCATTAAATGTGAAGCTCAGTTGTGATAGCCCTTTAGTCTGTATAGTGTATGTATTTGACAAAAATTCAATGGCCTTTTTGAACTCGCGGCGTAGGGCACTTCTATATTCTCGAACGAAAGCGGATTTTCCATAGTTGTAGCGACCAATCCCAGACCATCCTATAGTTTGTTGTATACAGGAACTTCTCTCGTGGTTTTCGCACGATATTGTCGGCAGGGATTCGCAGATTGGGTTCGAGGTCAGCGCCATCTTCTAAATTGTATTTCCGACCATGCTTCCTCCACTAATCCAGGCGTGGCCCTAAATAGAGGACTTCGCTGAGGGTGACAATATCCTCTTCTCGGTCGAGGAAGGAGTAGGTAATATGAATGAGTTCAAGAGACAAGGCGATTGGAAATTTACTAAACCTTTTGCCATAATTAGTCATGACAATAAAGACCTCTGGATTGAGAGAACCAGTTCGGATGGTGAAAAGGAGCCGGTGAGGAATGGCAGAAAGAAGAAGAGATGATCTGAGAACCGACTTGAGACTAAACAAGGTAGATGCAGAAGCAGAGCGTATTCGACAGCCAAGAACGGAAGAGCTTCTTTTGTATCTAAGAGTGAAAACCAAACGCCAACGACAGGCTAACAGGTACATATATTACCTCGACAGGTCAATGGATTGAATACCTGTAAGCTAATTCCATGTGCTGATTTTCTATTATTAACGTATCTCAGGGAGAATATATAGTTATTGATCTCAAGTTCATCCGTCACCAACGCTTCTCTCTTTCTGCCTCCACCTAGACACATTCGGTCACTCTCTGGTGCCTACTTCCATCGCCACGCCCGTACACTTGATCTGCTATACCACCTTACTTCCACCACCATTCCTCTACTTACATCGGCATACCGAAGACAAAGGGTTCCGAAATCGTTTGATCCTCGTGTTGGCGGCGGTAGGGTTGTGAGGGGCCACATTTTATTGAAAGTAAAAATAAAATGCGCTCAATGAAGGTGCATGCTCCGAATCCGGTCAACAAATGCCTGACAATCTTCATCTCGGAAAAGTAACCGGCCTCTCTCATTCTGGGACCACATCGCTCTTATGTAGTATGTCCATTTTGATACCAAGCCAGTCTGACTATCACTTCTCGTTGTTATATCGGATTGTCCACTATTATCCCGGTCTAATCTACGAAATTCATTCTCCACGTCTCCCTCAACTATTGTGACGGGAAAAGCGGGATCAATCACACATATTCGGTCATTGTGTTCAACAACTCCATCTCGGGTATCAAAAAATCCTAATCGACGAAGATACGCAGGCCGATCAAGTTTCCAGGGATGACAACCGGATGACCAGGTTGACAGGATTAAAAGTTCAATAATATAGGGCGGTCGTAAGAACTCTGTAACACACGCGACAAAATATATCCAGTCTTCTGTTTCATCAAGATCGCGGTACTGCCTCACGATCTCTTCTCCTTCGCCTTCCAGCCAAGCAGCAAAGGAAGGGGTATGAAAGTTTTTGCGTGCAAGAAAGCCCCAGACAAAGTCGACTACTTCAACGATATCTATCTTCTCCTGCATTGACCGAGCGGTGTTGGTCCACATGTCCCAGATTCGTGCGTGATTTTTATCACGATCATCTGGTGACTGATAGACAGATACTCTTGCGACCCACAGCTTTTCCACCATAGCCCAATGTCCCGTTAGCGCTTGGTAAAATCGTTGATAAGAGCGTTGCCTCTGTTTTGGATCCAATTGTCTGAAATTATCACATGTGGACCTAGCTGGTGGTGGAAGAGGATCCTCTCCCGCCCATCCTTCCTCACTTGCCTCCCAGCTTGACAGGGAGTATAATCTTCGTACGGATGTGTCGCAGTACAAATCAAAAAGGAGCCGCATTGCATGCCACCGACATACAATCTCCCAAATTGCTGCAGCGGGAAGATCTCGCACGGCTAAATGCTGTGCAAAGAACTCCTTTCGATACGACAGGCGTCTCGGAATCGGTGATTTGTCGTACAGAGCAAATCTTTCATTTAGTCCAGCTAGAAAACATAGTAAAAGGTCAAAGACATGATGGTCCGCATTCTCCTAGTTCACATTTAGAACTGAAGGACTAGGGATAATTAGGACGCACGATAATAGATCTGAAGATTTTCAGTCGAGTGTTAGACGGGTTAAAGGTATAGTACAGAGACTTGCAGCAGCGTGCAAGATGCAGGGCATCGTCTAGATCATCTAGGAGTTCAAAAATGAAGACGAGCAGTTCAGTCGGCAGGCGGAGTAGATAACACATTTGTTCTAAGAGCGGCTCTCAGCAATCGACCAAAGTGATGTCGAGTGTTGGACACAAATTTTGTTTGATCCACATTTCCGAAGGCGGTCGGCTTATATTTGAACAGGGTCGCTTTAGTTACACAGGTAAAAATAAAATCCTATTCTCACAGGTGACTAAACTGTATTAGGACTAGCGTATTATTAAAATGCTAAGAAATATTATTTAACTAACTACACAGGTGTCTTAGTCATTTCCCAAATAGGAAATATATAGCTAGTCTACTCCGTAAATGTTTTGATATTGAATCTAGGGATAGCTTCATCAAATAAGCACCTCTAAGATGGAGTATCTTCCTGATGAAGATCCCATTGAATTCGATAATCCTCCATCAATTCCTCAACCAGACTCTGGCGTACAATATGATTCTGTTGATGCAGCTGAAGCAGCTGCTACGTCTCATGGATTGCAACACGGATATGCTGTTATTATTGGGCGCCGAAATGCCGATGGAGCAGTCTACCTTTGCTGCGATAGAGGTAGCAAACGTTTATCTAAGTCCCGCGGTCTCCGGGAAGCCAAATCACGACGAATTGAGTGTCCATTCAGTGTTCGAATTAGTCATTCTAAGCGTATAATGAAATGGATACTTACTGTACGGAATGGGACACATAACATTCTACTTCACCTCCCAGCATGCATCCTTCAATTCGGAGACTTGAAATGCATCAAAAGAAGCAGCAAATCACCCCCTTAATCAATCTGGGAATATCTACAAGGGAAATTATAAGGATTCTGTATCAAGAGGACAACACTTCCATCCTTCAACGGCAGGATATCTACAATCTACGGCAGAAGCTATACCAGCAATTTCTTCAGGGACGAAGCCCAATCCAGGCCTTAATTACTGTTCTTCCTGGTGAAGGGCCATGGATAATGCAATATGCAACAAAAAAATGGCCGGATATGTGCTTTATTCTTCACACATAAAGTCTGCATTGAGCGATTAAGGCAAACACCATATGTACTCTGCATGGATTGTACATATAAAACCAACCGTTTTAAGATACCTCTTCTTAATATTATTGGTATATCAGCTACAGGAAGCACCTTTTATGTTGCTTTTGGCTTTATGTCTGATAAAAAAGAGGAGACATATTCATTTATTCTGTCATCTCTACGATCCTGTTATCGAACTCTGCGACTTCCGCTTCCAGAGGTAATTGTAACAGATAAAGAACGGGCTTTGTTTAATGCTCTTCATGAATTGTTTCCAGAGGCCGCCGCTCTACTCTGTATTTGGCATATTAACAAGAATATTATGGCGAAAGCAAAGCCTCTAAGGCTCTAATCAGCCGGCTTGTTACAGAATCAAATGCGAAGGAAAGAAACAACAAAATTGATACAATTGCTCGAGATTTGGAGTAAATTGGATGGAGATAGTTAATTCACCGACTATGGTGCAAAAGGATAAAAACTGGACGCTGTTTAAAGAGAAATATGCTAGTTATCCTGAGCTAATTGACTATCTAGAGTCAGAATGGCTTGAATACTTTACCGTAACATCACGTGAACGGTGAATGGATATATCTAAACAATCACCACAAGCCATGCACTCTTTAACAAAGCTCGAGGGGGTGAAGTTGTATTCTTTTATTTTCATTTTTGGATATTCGGATGGTAGAAAATAATGAGATTATAGCTTCTGTCGTGGAATCATGTCAGAATAAAGCTAGTCATACTGGGACATCATGTGAAGTAATATAGTGACGTAGCTATATAAGCCATGCCTCCAGAAGAAGAGGGGTAATGAAACACACATCACAAGGAATATAGAGTATATTCAAGCTCTCATAGAAATCCCAATAATCTAACAAATCACTATGCTTCTGGCATGTAAAGGGCTGGAGCCCGTTTGACCTCTCGGGCCAATTAACACAGTTGACCCTATTATCCCTATTGTCCCTCCTGTCCCCGTTGACCCTATTGTCCCTATTGCCCCTATTGGCCCTTGATGACCCTAAACACGTGGCTTTCCTCCCTTTCCCTCTTTCTTTCCTTCTTCAACGATTCCTTTTTGTACATAGCCTATTATATAGGTTCTACGGGTTCAGCCCCTGGCATGGCACACTAAATAATAATGATGCTATAAAATGTATAATCTATAATTTTAGATAACCAGTAACAGAAACACAAACAGGAGATCCTTGGTAACAAATACCATGGATATTACCAAGGAACTTAGCCATTCATTGTTATCACTAGAATTTTGACACTAAGCATTAAATACAATAACTTTTCATATTTCAAGTCACATGGAGGAAAAAAGAGATAAGAATGATATAGTATGTTCCGTATATTAAATTGCTGTAAAGTAGGAATTGCATTTAACATTCAAAACCTAAGCGGATATTGTCTTCCCCTATCCTAGCCGAATAATTTGGAGCGCAGACTATTTATGCCATTTAAGGAACAGCACGGCAAATTTCATGACCTGATTCCCGGCACTTTAATAAATATTATTCACTCAATCTACTAGCAGCTGACCCTATATGTTAGAGAGAGGTGTGATATAGTGTTTTCACCCTAAGCCTGCGAGTGCAGGCATTGTGATTCCACATGCGATTCAGACATAGTGAATCCATAGCTGATGTGAATTCCTGAGGCATCTTCAGGCAGATTGTTCTGTAGAACGGGCGGGCCATCCGTATTGTTGCCTCTTAGGTTACAAAGGCTACTTTCGTCTTGTTGCAAATGTACCCGCATCCAATGCTCCCGAATTCGATCCAAAGCCTGCTTGAAGTCATCGAGGATCACAGTGTCGCATAGACATTTGAAGATAAAAGAAAGCTGTCTCAGTGCTTACTGTCAGCAAGACTCCTGGTAGATTGGTTTCTTCACTGCTGCAAAAGCCTTACCTTCCAAAACGGTTCAATTCCAACCGGGAGTGTCGTGTGAAATGCGCCTGCAATAGCACAGGTGTCTATGATAACAAAGACCAAGGAAAGGCACATTGAGAGCAGCATAATGCCAAACCGCGGGCTGATTCGTACAAGATCTAGGAGGCTTATTGTGTAGTGTTGTTTGATTGTGTAGCACAGCATACATGTGGTAAAGAGCCACCATGGGTCCCTTGGTAAATAGTTAGTGTAGTTTTTAAAAAAAGCCAGACACGCTAGCCAAATGGTCCATACCGAAAGAGTGGTTCCAGAGGCCGTGTTTTGAGAAATAAGTCATCATGCTTATTAAAGAAAACAAAATTTGCGTAGATTTCCAGCACCCAGTAAGGTTGTGCCAGCAGTAACGTTGCAAGATATACCCAAGAACCCCATCTTGGCAAGAAAGGCTTCATCTTGAACCAGGCAATTATGTTATGCAAAGTCCATGACAAGTTTAACCCGATAGCAGTAATTGACAGGTACCAGCCATATGATGGCTCATGGAGAAAGATAAATGTCCCGTGGCAAATAGCCAGGATTAGCTGGAACCATGGTAAGAAGTTAAGAGCCCAGTACGTATGGATAAAGATAACCGAATCGTCTACTCACCTCGACAATAACTAGCTTGTGAAGCATCTTTCCTTTGATTATATTGGCTGCAGCAACAGATAGCATTACAACCAATGAGCCCACTATTAACCCTTGTCCCCATGCTTCGAGAACAAGCCCATCTGGGTTTTTAGGTCTCCCAGGGGATATCGTGGATAATACCGATCTGGTTTCTTGGAAGAAAGACGCCATAATGATGTGTAGTTGACACAGGATAACAATTGGAAGGATAAAAGTTTTCTGGGGAGTAGATGGCGTAGATTTATATCAGCCAAGGTCAGATTTTAAAAGCGTTCCTTGCGAGGCTTATTTAACTTGCTACTAGCGGAGCTACAACCTACAGACGGAAGATAGTCAGATGGTATGGAATGTATGTAACAGACCCAATTGATCCACAGTGGGGGCAGTTTGGCTTTGTACCTCCGATTTTATAGGATACTAATATAAGCATTAATGCCACAATTGAGAGATGAATGGTGGAGGACATCGTTTACTGTATCCATTTCAGATACCTAAGGGGTCTACTATATTACCCGTGGTTCGTAAGCTTCCGACATACAAAGAGAAGACTGGAGGATGTTTCGGGAATATTTCGTTCTTAATATATGGCCGTTTAACTCGCCCTAAGTCTACAGTGTTTCTCCGTAGAGTAAAGACTTCGTGCAGGGTCTGATATGGTACTAGCAAAACTTAGGTAACTGTTAAGAATGTCCAGGGTTCATTCTATAAGGAGGATGTGTGTTAAGAACAAAGGTTTAATGTTAAAGTAAAAAATCAACTAAAAGTGATATCTGCAGCATCCCGTACAGGCCTTTCTCACTGGATATTTGTTATCAAAGGGTTTAACAGCGAGGGAACACCCCACGATAGTCAGCGCACAGCAGATGGCACCGAGGCTGAACCGCCCAGCGGGTCCTAAACTAACACCCTGGACAAAGGATATGTCAGTTACACGTGTTTGAACGGCTGATTGAAGGGCGTATAGAATGCCTGCAGACACGGAGAAACACACCAGACAAGCTAAGCTTGCGGTTAACATTATAGTCTGTTTGACCCGGCGATAGAAGGGCCACGGCCACCGTGCAATAATCAAAGGCGTCAGCAAGGCAGTCAAGGCCAGCACAAGTCCAATTATCATAAGAGGTGCAATTGCTCCCTGCGAGGAAGCAGGCTCTTCCCATGGACTGGAAGCGCCCAACAGTGTCCTCAAATTTAGTTTGAATTAATTTTGGTAGGACGTACGAGACGTTGACGGGTAACTGGCGGTATTCTTTGGGCTTTTGATGAATTTGAGTGCATAGCTTTTCAGTACCGAGAGAGATCCTGTAAGGGAAAAGGTCATTGTCTAGAGACCGATTACATTCGACTTTTTCAGTTGCTGTTTCCATAGCTGACGGGGCCGTGAATGTTGCAGTCTCACTTCCGTTGCTAACGCTCTGGGAGAGGTTAACATGGTGAAGTATAACACGGTGATCCGTCTCTGGAAGTTTCTGCCAATTCAACTAAACTCTACATTAATATTTATGTCTAGAGTCACTTACATTAATGGTTGCGATCCCGGTTTCTTCCACAGAGGTGCTGGTCAGCACCAGGAGAGTCAAGACAGTGGTTAGCAGCACAGCTGGGATGAAAACAATATAGATGGTCGTGATTGCTCGCTTTCTACGAGTTATTTGCTCCAACATGATAATTGGAGCCAGAGTGTCATTTATTCTCCGCCGCGGTGTGGATGACGCCTCTTGCGTAGACTGAGTAAGCTCTTCCGGCAGCTGATTGCTTGCAGGACTACCTGTGAGAGCAGCCATGTTACACGTGCACAACAGGATTAAGAAAGGAAGGGGATATATATGTACAGTAATAGAACACTATTAAGCTCAAGAACTCGTTTTCAAAGAAGACACTGTCCAGAAAAACCAAAAAAGAAAAGAAACAAAGAGAACACAAAGGGAGAATTGCTACAGTAGGCATTAGAGAGAATAAAGTTGGGCTGGAGAATAGTGGATACTGTACACTCTGATGGGACATGTCAAATAATATGGCCGTTGGTGGACCAGAATCATGTGACTGGATCGGGGTAAAACCCCCGTGGAGCACACAACAAAATAATCAATCAAGAATAACCAAGAAGAATAATCAAGAAGAGCCCAACCAGCTCAATTCATTCAAATAAGACCTTTTCACCAATCGTACTCTATTTCCTCTTCGGGATTAGCCGTATATCTGACAATTAGAGTCTCATTCGCTCAAAAACTACCTATACAGCGAACCACGGCTTATACAGCTCAGCTATCCACCGGTCGAAACTTTATTTCCTCCGAACGAAATGTCCACGCAGAATACCGTCCTTTTGAAAACCCAAGAGAATTGGAAGGAATGGAACACGCAGTTTGAAGGTTTAGCCAGAGGCAAGAATTTATGGGGAATTATTACTGGCGATGAACAAGAGATTTTAAAGCCAGCACCACCTACCGATGACACTTTGGCACCACCAGCTGGAAGTACACGATCAACAAATCCTACCTCCCTTGCTGATCGACAATTTGCTTGGACTGTTTACAAAAGCCTTCGTGACGACTATATTCTTCAACAAACTGAACTAAGCAAACTGCGGGAGTGGATGCAGAAGACTATTTCTCCACAAGTGTATGAATATTGCTGCGATCCAGAGGATTCGATGAAGGAATGGTACGCCAAACTAAAGCAACGGGTGGGAATTGATGATGCCACAGTCAAGAAACTTGCCCGCGAAGCGTATAAAAAGGCCATTAAACCTGTCACAAGACCTCGGGATGTACTTACCTGGTTAAACAATTGGGAAGAAGCAATGCACAAGGCCGAAAAAGCTAGAATTGCAGTGGCTGCAACCACAAGTGACTGGATTGAGGATTTCCTGAATGCTGTACGGACTTTAAACCCGGTATGGGCAACCTCATATGAGATTGCTAAGAGTAAGGATATTGAATCAGACAACCTGACATTCAGACTGGTAGCACAAGACTTCCGAAAAGGTTTGGATACCAAATTGATTCAACAGAGCAGCAATATTGCCAAAGGGTCATTTGGTCCAACCTTTGATGCTGAAGAAGCTAAGACTGAAGGCACGGAATTGAATCACGCACCAAAAGGTCAAAGCTATACCCAGAAGCGCAAGCAAAAGCCTAATAATCTCGAGAGCTGCAATATAGCCAAGAAGACAAAGGTAGCTTGCAAAGCATGTGGGCAAATGCATGAATGGAAGGCCTGTTTCTATCTTTTCCCTCAAGAGGCCCCTAAAGGATTTAAGGAACGTGCTGTAATTAGGAGATTTATTAATCATCTGCTTCAAACAGACAAGGAATTTGCCAAAGAGGTTGAAGAGTGGAAGAGCTTGAGGAATCAAGATTGACTACTTGAACGACAGATTGGAAGAATTCCAGCTTCATTTGCGACATTACCGGATACCTATCCATTAAAGAATTCAGCTATTCTTGACTCCGGATCCACTATCCATATCTTTAATGAAATCACTCGATTCAACGACTTTCAAACCGCACAACCAGGTGACTTTATATGGGCCGGAGATTCAAAGGTGGAGATCCATGGATATGGCAATGTGGATATTCAGGTTAGATTAGGTGGAAAGAAGTCAATACTGCACCTCCAAGATGTTGCTTTCTGTCCCAAGATGGCTTGCAATTTAGTGTCTCTACGCCAGTTGCATAAGGCCGGAATATGGTGGGATAATCGACCAAGAGCAAAACATCCTCCGACATCAAGATAATCGACCGATTGCGCAGATTGAAGACCAGTTCGACCAGTTTGTGATTGAATACCTTCCCATGAATATAACAAGAGGAAGTCTTTTAATCGCCGAAACCGCTTTCAATCATCGTTCCATTCTACACCAAGATCTGCACGGGCAGATGCATACCAATGGCACCTTCGACTTGGACATCCTGGACCTCTTACCTTGGAGCATCTAGTCAATTCAACTAAAGGAGCAAGGATTAGAGGTGGACCGACAACAGTGGAATGCGACGCCTGCGGGATTGCAAAGCTAAAGCGTCAGGTTAGCAGAATTCCATCGGATTTTATAGAGGGACCGGGTCAACGCCTAGCCATTGATTTCCATGACTTCGAAGCTGGCTATGGTGGTTGGAAAAGCTTGATGCTAGCAACTGATCGGTGGTCAGGTTTTATCTGGGATTACTACCTAGAGGACCGAACGGCTGACTCAATTATCCACGCTTTGAGGCATTTACTTGGAACACTTGGGCGAATGGATATAAAGGTTCAGGTTATTGAATGTGACAATGAAACTGTGGGCCAAAAGCCTCGCATTGCAGCCTTTCTGCAGTCAGATCCTTATTTTATAAAGATTGAGCCCTCCGCACCTTATACAAGTGCTCAAAACGGTGGTGCAGAGCGCTCAGGGGTGTAATAAAGGATAAGGCTCGAGCAATGCGGGAACATGCTAGATTACCTGCATTTCTATGGCCGGAGATTGTACGTGCATCAGTCTATCTTTCCAATCGAACACCTCAGTACCAAACCAATTGGAAAACGCCTTTCGATCGATTCCATACCTACGTTGCGCACCAAGACGGCATGGTAATCCATGACAGAAAGCCTCAGCAAGCGCATCTAAAAGTATATGGATGCAAAGCCTTCGCCATGACCACAGAAGCACTGAAGAAGTCAAACCGGAAACAGAGATTCAATCCAAGAGCGCATATTGGATATCTAGTTGGATATGATTCCACTAATATCTACCGAATCTGGATTCCACGCCTAAACCGAGTCATCCGTACAAGAGATGTGATATTCAATGAAGACGAGCAGTTCTCTGGGGATCTGTCCGAACTAGCAATCATGCAGGATCAATTCCGGCAGATATCCATCCAAGATTTCAACCAGATGATCAAGAATATTGAGGTTCCCGAAGAGTCTATGTCGCCACCAAGCCAACAAGAAGAGCAAGTAGTTGGATATTTTGATTCTTTAGACTTTCTGGTGGATATGGCACAATCAGCTATGGATTTGGCGGAAGAAATAGGTCAGAAAGATGCTGAAGACCTAGTCTATCCAACACCACCGGAGACGCCAGAATATCTACAACCAGCTTCGCTATTAGCTATTGGTTCCCCAGCTAGATCTAATCAAGAATCATCGCACTTAGCTGCATGGAAAGCATCGTTTTTGGCTGCACCATTAATTCAACCGAAACGACCCGGAGAGAAACAACCAAGGCACAATCAGAACGATTACTTCGACAACCTGAAAAGGATTTGCACCACAGAGATTTGCCACCTAAGCCAGTCCACCACAGAGATCTTATTAATCATCCACTTGGCGAACAGTTCAAGCAGGCTGAAAAAGATCATCTTAAGGGACATGAGGATATGTGTACATGGCAAGAAATAAGCCGGCATAATCCTAAATGCAAAGGCAGGCAAATCCTGGATTGCAAATGGGTGTACGCGTACAAGTTTGACCAGAAAGGAAGACTGCAAAAGTGCAAGGCCCGTCTGGTTGTACGCGGCGACCAACAAGAAAGGAAAACAGAAGATCTTTATGCTTCAACACTGGCTATACAATCATTCCGAATCCTAATGGCTACAGCTGCAAGATTTGACTTGGAATTGGTGCAATATGACATTACCAATGCCTTTGTCTATGCAGATATCGATGAGGATGTCTTTATGCAGATGCCACCAGGATACCAAAAGCCAGGTATAATCCTGAAGCTTAAAAGGGCCCTGTTTGGACTGAGGCAATCACCATTGCTATGGCAAAAGCACTTCAAGAAATCCCTTCAAGACCTAGGATTTAATCCTATTCCTCATGAACCATGTTGCATGATTAAAAATGGTATTCTAGTATTCTTCTATGTTGACGACATAATCTTTGCATACCATAAGGGCTGCAAGAATCAAGAGATACTGGACCAAATTGTTAATCAGCTCCAAAACCAGTACAAGATGACTGGCGGAGATAAACTGCAGTGGTTTCTTGGTATAGAGATAATCCGGGATCGGGAGAAAAGAATTATATGGCTAAGTCAATCCTCTTATATAGAGAAGATTGCTAACCTAGCGGATTCAAGAACCTCAGATACTGTCCCAATAACCAGAGATGAGCTTATTATCTACACCGGACAAGCCACACGCCAAAGTATTCAGAGATATCAGAAGAAGAACGGTTCCTTAATGTACACAGCAGTCACCACACGACCAGACATAGCCTTTGCAGTGTCCAAATTATCCCGCTTTCTTACCAATCCAAGCGACGAACACCATGCTGCGGCTGACCGCGTCCTTTTATACCTTAAACGAACGAAAGACCTAGCGCTGCAACTGGGGGTGGAGATGACTTCATCCTGTACAGCGATGCTTCGTTTGCGGATAACAAGGAGGATCGAAAGAGTTCGCAAGGATATATAATGCAGTTGTTTGGAGGAGTAGTAGGATGGAGGGCCAACAAGCAGGCAACGGTGACTACTTCTACCACTGAGGCAGAGCTTCTAGCGTTGTCCCACGCAGCTGGAGAAGGAATATTCATCAGCAGACTGCTTAAAGAGCTTGGAGTTCAACTGGATAAGAGAAAGAAGGACCAACGGATTCAAATCTTCTGTGACAATCTCCAAACAATCCGGCTTGTGCATAAAGATATAAACCGACTTCAGACAAGGCTTCGACACGTGGATATCCATAATCATTGGCTCAGGCAGGAAGCTCTGGAAGGAAGAATCCAAGTCAGCTACACACCAACAGACAAGATGCTGGCAGATGGACTCACTAAAAGCACTGCCACGGCAGAAATTCGAGCCGTTTGTGGATCAGCTAGGACTTCGGGACATCTCTGGAGTCAAAAGGATTGATGGAAACACTGAACGGATATGACTGAATGTCAGATTCGACCCGGAATAGCTTCAAGGTTGCTGAAATTGGAAGGAAAGGTTCGAATCTGAGGGGTGTGTCAAATAATATGGCCGTTGGTGGACCAGAATCATGTGACTGGATCGGGGTAAAACCCCCGTGGAGCACACAACAAAATAATCAATCAAGAATAACCAAGAAGAATAATCAAGAAGAGCCCAACCAGCTCAATTCATTCAAATAAGACCTTTTCACCAATCGTACTCTATTTCCTCTTCGGGATTAGCCGTATATCTGACAGGACATTATCTAGTCTGAAATAGCCTCTCCATATTTGGGCGTTCGTGAGGTATTAATCTTCAATAGTTCAGACAACCTAAGCTATGAAACTTCTCCGGTAGGAACCTACATCGCTGACAATCCACTTGCTAGTATATATAGTAGAGTGCTCCCAATCCCTCTCCTAGCATCTTCTAGCAGTTTGTGTGCGAGCAAAACCTGATTTTTACACTACATCAAAGTTACCTTGGCAGAATCCATTTTCAATCATGGACGAGACCCTCCCTCTATCCTGCCCTAACACTCCTGAGTCTACCCAGTTTGCGGAGGATGACACAGATTCTGCCACGTCTATGAGTACAATTGACTTGCCATGCCATCAAGATGCACTTTACACCAAACTTCCAAAGCGAAGGACATCCCTGGAGAATGACAGTCCTGTGACACCTTTGCCCAAAAGAGTGAGGACAATATGCGGTGCTGCAGAGCCTGTTAGTCCTCCCAGGGCACCTCTACGAGGTGTTGCGAACGTTTCACCGCGTTTCTCTCCCCCAATGCTTCTGCCAAGTCCGCTTCTTGACAACACGCCACGACGGGCGATACGGCTGTTCGAACCTGAGACGCCTCGACGAAATGCTGTTGCGCGTCTAGTCCCGCTTCTATGGAGACAGCACTGCCCGCGGGACAGTGACAAGTTCTACGATGAACTCGCCTATTGGTACCATCAGTAAGTATGAGATATTTTAAGTTGAATGTTAACTGAGTTCTCTAACCGCCATCTGGAAGATTTCGGCTTCAGATGTGGTCCCCAGTGGCATCCATGATGGGTATAAGCTGGGAAGAGGCAGAAGAACTTGGATGGCGAATGGGCAAAACTGAGATCGACCAACGGGCAGCCAGATCGTCCCATGCTTCGCGTACGGACTGGGGAAACAATGTGGCTCCAAAGATATAGGGGAGAAATACATACATACTCATTGCGAAAATAAAACAAATGTCGAATTCGTTTTTGGGTTTTAAATTTAGGGCTCTCTAGAACAGGAATGGGTTAGTGTATCACGCGCGATAAACTGTACCTATTGTAAATTAGCACGCCCTGTGATTGATTGAACTAATAATGTAGCCTCTATACGTGACTTTCGATCTGATAGGACGGTGTCGAATTATTCCCTTATTTGTTGGTTGTTCTAGGTTTTATATACCCTTCCTTTTCAGTAGCTTTCAGGATTTGTGGGAACAAGATATGTAATATTTTAGTATTTAAAATACGAATAGCGCTAGCATGTAATGAACGGAGTTTATTTGCATTTTTCTATTTTCTAATACCAAATTCAGTTTCTGGGAAACAAGCAAAGGCGACGGTCAACCAGGATCACGCTGAAAACATGCTGGTCAGAGCATGGTGGACAGGAATTAAAACTGTTGATTGAGGGTTCCAATAAAGATATTTAGAGTGAAAAACCAGGCTGTCTGCTTTCTGCAAATCTTTTATTCGACCGAGGTCTTTGGTAGCCACCAGGAGTGCAAAGGAGCGGGCAATGTCTATATAGGGAATAACGTCCCTTGCTCCCCAACACCTCTTGCTAGCCGTGGAATCCTGAATATCCTATGGTAGACTAAAGCGTATTCCTGCAAATTCAAGACCGAGATAATGGATCGGTGCTAGTAGAAAAAAGGTCGAAGTGCTTGACAAGCAATTTCTCTCCATGGACCGCGTGAGAATCCAGATCGACATCTTTACCAAAAACTGTGTGGAAATGCGCTATAATCCTCTCGGTACTCCTGGTACTATGTGTCAATATAAATTACTTCTACAGTATCTGGAAGGTTTACGCGTTTCCGCGTTGATAATTCAACATGATCTGTTTGGCGATTATTCAGTTGCTTAAGTGAGCTCCCTCACATATATAAGTAGGCAAACTATGCGTATGTTGAAGAGACCAGACCTATAGTATGTAGATTTAGTCTTATTATGAATACGCTTGGTTGAATAGAATACGACCAATTTTATATTGAGACTACATAGTAGTGTTTGCGGAGCGCACTTTGCGATCCTCAATAGGAATAGCGTATCACGCGTGATATACGTGGGGAGCGTTAGAGAAGTTTCTTTCTGAAAGTTAAAGATACTTTGGCCTAATGCCCGGGATTTGCTTTTACTCCTCTGACCAGTAAGCCAATTCCATAATTAGACTAGATACAGTTTAGCAGACAGTAATGAATTTTTGTGCAGCTCCCTTTTCCGTTTGATACCCACACGTAGTGTGGCAGACGTTCCATTGAGATCAGCAGTGATGGACCCGCTGAGATGGTTCTCAATGGCCTCGACATAGTGCAGTGGATTGGCAGCCTCTGGAAAAAGAGCCATGTTGGGAAGAAGTTCTTGATACATATTGCGCAGATATGCCAGCTGCCGGTCACAATTAGTTTTCAGCTGCCAGCTTGTGTCAAGGGCCATACATCGGGGCAGGGCGCCTTCAGATGGCCCCGGGGAATAACCACTGATATCTGCACACGGACTTACCAATACCTCTACTGCGCATGTTGTCCTCTCACGATCACTGGCCCATTGGCTGCATAGTTCATCTACCAAGGGCTTCTGTATAAAACTGTCACAGTAACCTGTGCATTGAACCACCAAAATAAAATACCTACCGCAATTTCCCAATACTTCCTTTTCTCAAAGGTTGCTTCCATGCCCGTGGGACAGCAGTAGGGACGTCCAGCAGCAGATTTAAAAGACCAGAAGCAGTAACTAATTTGCACCTGTTCTTTTGGCAAATGAGCCTGCGGGAAGGAGCCACCCTTTTTACAGTACCAGTCCGGTTTACTACGCCAAAGCCATCTTGCTTCCGATGCGCTGCTTGCGCTGGCCTTTGGGCTGTGGGAAGGATGTCGCACCCGGCGACGATCTTATAGTGAACGATTCGCCCACTTTAGGACGCCATCTATCCATCGATAGACTTAATCCCCAAGCAACGGGGCTTGCGTTGATCGTAGGACTCTAGAGTCTTGCTGCCCCCTTTGTTCAAGCCAACAGTGGAAGATGATACCATGGAATCATATGGCATCCCTCCGACAGACCCACAGAGGAGGATCATGGGACAAGTAGATGGACAGTCGCACCGCTAAAGTGCCTGGAAATAATAAGGCTGGCGAGGGGCCGCTCCCAACCCTAATTTAGACTTCTGACACTGGCTCAATGAATTCTGTGGCAAATCTGCGATTCAGATATCCATCCCTCCGAAGCTTATTTATAATTAAAATTTGCCCCCCTTTATCGCCGGTGAGTGTAGAGCATGCTTTACCTGGGGTTAGCAGATGGGGCTCTCCACAATGCGGTATATGCCCCCTTAGGATTCCACTATTATATGCAGCCAGTGTGCCATGTGTACTGTAAAAACACAATGCAAATAAAACAAGCCATGTAAAAGTTTATTTGTATAAGCTTAGAGGAAAACTCTCCCGCGGATATTTTATTAAGTATGGAATGGATTGAAACCGGGCTCAGGAATTATGCACAATATAGTCAGCCTTTTTACTCTGCCAAGAGCATAAACTAATTCTATATTTTTTGTATTTTTGATATAAGCGTTAGGGTTATTTATATGACTACGCAAGGTGTGCTGATAGGGAGTACCCTGACCATTTAATCAGGGATTCGGCTTTTAAACCGGCTTTATCTAACCCACATAGCTGGGCGAAGACCTGCAAAACTAAAAAGAAAAGAAAAATAATAACTGCATTATCTACTAAATAGGTGTCCGTAGATGAGGCTGACCTCTCTGTTGTTGTATTTTTGTAGAATATTATTGATTTACCACAGACGCCCGTTGCGAAGAGTACGAGGTCGCCGCGGAGGTCGCATCGCGAAACGAGCCGTTTCCCGCACGCCACACAATCGTCTCGGGAGGCAGACCATGGCCCAGAAAAACCAAACATTGGGGATAGCCCTTGACTATCCATAAACCAACGCATTGAGTTAGGAAACCCGCCCACAGAATACTGCGACCCATCCTCAGCCGAACCGACAACACCGTCACATCATCCAAGCGGCTGACAGAGAATTGGACCGGAACGCAGTAGCGTCCGCACTTATGGCACACTGTGCCTTCACTGGTGCTAATCCATATTGGCCGGTTGCCAAAGACGAATTCCTTCCACGATGTGTCTACATGCTAGAGGGCACTGATGAACACGTCTCCAGGAACACGACACCGGATGACACCCTGGCACCAGTATGATCCACTGCTGGCTTCCTTTGTGCTGAGCGACGCTGTGGCACTAAACCTTCAAATGGCGCAGGAAACCCTATGCCGGAATTTTCGGTGAAAAGCTAAATCGCTGATATACTTATTTGTTAAGATACTGTAATTAGTTTATTTTTTAGGCTTTTTGTGTGTGAGTATTAATATATCTTACGTCAAATAACTATTTACTGTAGTATTTTCTATCAGCAAATGAAGTCACTATTTTTCTATTCCATGCTGGAGATCCTTTCCCAGGACTATGTCGCTTCTGAATTTCCACGCGAGCTTATTGATCGCATAATCCGCTATCTTCCACCCCTTTCTGCGGTAAATGCTCAAGCAGCGTTTCATGTCTTCCCTTGGGCAAGTGAGAAAGAGGTTCAAGGACTATGGTCTTTGGTATTTGAGAAAGAGGACTGGCTTCACAAGTTATCCGATCTGGGAGGCAATCCTGTCCTAATTGGCGCTCGCCTTAGGGATGTTGGAGAACATAGTGGAATTGCTCAAAATCATATAGTACTCCACTCAGGTTCTAGGGAGTATGGGGTTACTGCACAGCCAATCCGACAACTCTTACTTAATTGCTTAAAAAGGGCTATACTCTTCGCCAAAGAAATGAGGACTATATCGAGATTAAAATCGGGACCAACTTGACAGTGGATGTGTCCGAGCCATTGCGAGGATGCGAGTGGCTCGAGATCAAAAGAAGGCGCATTAACCAGATATTCTCCTACAAGGACAAGCGCCTCCAATCGCAGTACTGCTTCTTCAATGACAACATGATCAAAGACCTAGAGCCAGAATCTATTGTTCGGCAAGACAGAGTCACAGTAGCAACAAAACGTGACTTTGTCCAAGGTGTGACTTTGTCCCTCTCACATGCAACGGAGAAAATAGAAATCCTTATCCTCGCAAATAAAGGTGATGCGCGGTGCCGCACGCGACGGCCCTTAAATGATTTACACTAAATAAAATTTATATGGATTTTACATACTTGTTGGCTATGCCGATTTCGAGAAAGACTGTCACTGCTGCACAGTGTATACATTGTTTTCTCTATGTACAGTACCACCGGATATTGCTTTGGGGGGGAGAATACTATGAGCAAGAACGGCCTGAAGGCGCAGTGCGAAGACTATTGAAACGGTGTGGATCGATATGACATGCTTTGCTATTTCACGATATATAAATACGCTTGTTTTTTAAAATGACTTTAGACACATTGGAGGCTCTGCCATAACTTACCTATGGAACTGGGGTGGGGAAAAAGAGTTATCTTCTCATCCAAGAAAATTGTCATGCCTTGTGCCTTTAAATGTAATAATGGAAACCAAGCGCTGCCAACTATGTATGCTGAGATGCAGAACATGCCTCTTTACAATAATATTTTAGCTGCCTTTTTTTCCTTGGGTTCTCCTGGCCAGATACAGTATCGTGTTTGTCCAGGTACTGTACATTTACCTCTTTCTGTTGTCTATGTATATAGTGCTACTAATATCCTCTGCTACCAATTACTTCGAGTGTACGAAACACCAACTCCGTTCTACACTCTACATTAGAGCTATTTTGGCAGAATCTATTATTAATTATGGACAAGATTATCTACTGTAACAGGAATTGAAATAATTGATAATGTGTAAAACACGTAAACTCAGAGGAAGAACATCATTATTTCATTGATCAGTATTAAGTTGAAGATTGAAGGTGGACGAGGTCAAACGCTCGAAGTATGGACGAACGCAGTAGGGTGACCGCTGAGAACCACTTATGCAGTTCCAACCCGTACAAGCGTGCAACATAATGTGTAAGAGAAGATTGTAATATAATTGCAATCTTTAAGTGGCTTTTCAGGGGATGACTCAAGTTGAAAACCTAAATAAGCTGGCTGAAATGGATTAGTGTATCGCGCGTGATAGCATGTGGGGTGTTTTGCAAAGAGAAAGACTATCTTTTAGATATTAAGACTGCCAGCCCTGACCAATCACCCGGAATGTATTGGTTTAAGTTTATGATAGGTTAGAATGATTGGGTAAGATGGCCTAGCATAGTGGGGTTACGCTTTAATATGTGTAGGTTGTTGACATGACCAATTAAATGTTTCGTAGGCTCACGGCAACCCAGCAATTAAATCCCCTTATGGTGGTGTAGATAATGAGATTCCTAGTGGCGTGAAGCTCAGGAACACACCATCCCATTCATCAATCGTATTAGCCGCTAACTTTACCCGGCTACTTGGGAACGCGCTAATTACAATAATTACTTTATTGTTAACCCATATAGGGCGCGAAGTGGGGTTAGTGGGTAACGATGTACTGTGTAAAGAAGAGCCAAAAGGTGTGAAAACCAACTCAGTATGTTGACCAACAAAATCTGCGAAATAGATAGAGCCCAATGGTCGTCTACTGTAGTGATATGCATATTCAAATCGACTGTACTGAAGTCTTCCTGTACACTATTGCTTATGTTTCGCTTCCGTTCGTAAAGCGAATACCCCAAAGCAAAAATAAATTTGGTCAAAGACATTTAGTCCTGGCAGAATTGTTGGATAAAATTACTTCCCAAAGCAGGCTAAAAATGCTCCTACGCCTTCCACCAGAGTTGCTGTTGGACGTTATTTCAAGGGTATATTTTCTTTATCATGGACCTAGATACCGTATACTCATTCTTTGTGAAGTTCGACCGAAGCGACCTTGCCGCCTTTTGCAGGGTTTCGAAATTTCTCCATGAGCTTACGGCCCCGATCCTCTTCCAATCTATTACCATTCCAGCGAAGGAAAACTGTCTCGACTTACTCGAGATCAGCGGGTTGCTGCGCGCAAGCAACAGTGATAAGGGTAACCTTCTCCATTGTGTGAGGAATGTGCAGATAGTATCCCCATTTTTTCAATTTATGAATACTGAGCGATGTCTTCATAATGATGATATTATAACTTATGCCCATGAGGAGGATGAAAATGGAATTTCTGAACCCCAAGGCGATACTTTACCTAGGGACGACGATACAAACGAGGCCGAATCGATGGATAACCTACAATGTGCGAATGAAAATGACGATATTAAGACGGGAAGGTGTTACTCGCGAATGGAAAACAGGTGCTTGTTAGTTTTAACGAAGTGCAAAGAAGGTGCATTAAGAAGTTTTAAGTAAGCTCTAAATTCTTTGAACTACAAACCGGATGACCCAACACTGGAATAGCTGGCAATTAGGGACCTGCGTCCCTATGCAAATCCTGGGTGAGAGGGGCTATTTGCCATCAAAGCAAAGGAACCTCGAAGCTCTTACGCTCCTAACTGACGGTAGATGTGGGATTGCTTCGTATGATTTAAGAGGATTTACAAAACTTACAGCGCTTTCCTGGACGGGTCTCCGGAATTACACAGATTTCCAGGCCCTTCGAGAGTGTTTTGAGAGGACATCATCTCAGCTTAAGATAATCGAGTTGGACTTCTTGACCTGGCAGCATGTGTGTGACGCAACTGGTTTGCTATATGGTAGAGAACCCAACTACTTTGCGGGGGACATCCTGCGGCTCTCTCAAGGAGATGAGAAGCTCGTTTTTCCAACCATTAAACATCTCTCCTTGTCAGGCCTATCATTCACCGGTGCTGAGAGAGAAATGGCCTTCGCATTTAATTTCAAGTCACTCCGCTCGCTGAAGCTACGTTTTTGTCCCGGCTGGGAAATGTTTTTGCGCCAGATCGCTAGCACAACACAATCAATCCATCTGGAATCTCTTGTAATACAGTCAGACTTTAAATACGATGATGGGGATTTCGACGCAGCTCCGATTACCGCATTCTTGTCTGCAGTCGAGGGTCTTCAGCACCTCTCCATCTGCACCAATTGGCAATCCGGTACGGTACAGATTTGGCGCGCTATGGTACGTCACAAAGCCACTGTAAGAAGCTTTGTCCATCACCAAGGTATGATGATGATGATGACGTCGATGATCTTTCGCTATGGCCCCATGATGATTCCCTGCTAAAAGAGCCGTCATGCAACCCTCTTATAAATCTCGACTTGGAATTCATAGGACTATCAGGTTGTCCTAATATTTTGGTACGCTTTTCCTGCCCACTTTCTTAACTATAATTCCAACTAAACAACCATTGCTGCAAACCATCAGAAGCAAATTACTTCTCCCCTTACATCCAACACAAGCCTGAATATTTTCCATATCAGGGAGTCTGGGTCTGTTCTTAGTCAAAATGAGAGTTATTGGATCCACCGACTAGACAGTAAACTGGCCAATGATCAAAGCGAGGAAGGGCTTCCGTTCAGTGTGGGGTTAACATATGATTTTGACGAGTTTGCACAATGGGCATTTGGGGAAAACGGTTTCTCGTCACTACAAATACTGGCATATGGCGATTTTTCTTACAGAGGAAGATATTCGACGACCAATATACTCCTTTGCAGGGATTCGACGCCACCTCAGCACTCTAGTCCTCGCCAAAGAAACTACAGGCATCTCGCAGAGACCGACAAGTCTCTTTGGCATATGTTACACCAATACGCCTACGCCTTGCAAGCGTGTCCCGCTGGCTTCCTCCTGGAGGCTGCGCCACCTTTCGATTTTTAAAATCTGAAAAAGGTTCATGTATATTTCTATATTTTATGGGTTATTCTAAGGTACGGCATTTAGGTACGAAAAGCTCATGCAACATGCAAATCTCTGCTGCATATCGCATGTCAGGAGATAGCCAAATGGTTGGCGGGGGGGGATGGCTGTTTAAGTAAAGGTGTGCCACAGTTAAATCGTTCCTTGTTATATACAGTACAGGTCTAGCCCTAATGCAGCAGTAGTGCGGTCAGGATGAAAGATCAATACAATATTAAAACAGGAGCTCCAAGCCTCCAACAAAGTTTGATGTGACTGACGCATTATCCCAAGATAGGAATAGCGTATCACGCGTGATAGCTTGATTTGTTGCCTGAGGCACTTGGATAATAGGTAAGGCTCTCACATGGACTCCCCTTTTTGGTTCAACAGGAGGTTATGAGTCTAGCTTGTTTGGTGGTGCAGATTCGACCCTTAGCCTGAGCAATTTATTTTATGATTTGATCATGTAATCATAAGTCTCATACGGCGCCGGTTGCAAGCGGGAGGCAATCTCAAATATAAAGCAGCTTAACTCTCATACAGTATTTAAATTTTTGTCAATGTGACGGCAGGCAAATCAAATAGATAAGATCATATTGAGTCCTATATAAAGAATACTAAAGATGGGGAGGAAAGGAAGAAGATAGGAGGGCGTTGTCATGGCGAGCGAGGATATGGTGGGAAGCTTCCCAGCCCTAGCCCTGTGCCCTCAGCCCTTCCTTATCCCAATACGCCGAATACGGCTTACGTGCAAACCATATAAACATCACGTCACCGCGTTATCCTGAGCGCGGTGTCCAAGGCCAGGTCGTCACAGTCAACCTAAGATTTACTGCTAACCCACATTTAGTTATTGCAAATTACAGCACTAGTGGTCACGCCATTCAATCCTTATATTAGTTATTTGTACTGAAGAAGACTATTATATAGGAGACATTTAGTCAGATAGTTACAATAATTAGATCATTTGTTCAGTCATGACAAACGTATACGAATTAGGTGTCAAGCAATCAAGTTAACAATTTTCTAAAGCATTTTAATTACCCTCCAAAAAGGTCGAGACCTCACACCCGGTTATTCGAAACTTAAAGTCCAACCAAAGGGCATTTTATTTGAACAAAAAGCTTCCAACCATTGTCTAGTTGAAAGATAAAATATATCGAAGCAAATACGGCCAGGACTGGAATTTTGGCACTGTAGATCTTTGGGTATCTTAGCTGTCTGGATCACCAACCTGCCTATCTTATGCTGATCTCAAAGGAGCAGTAGCTGATACGTAGGTTAGTATTGATTATTGTATGGACACGGAAATATTCTTATTAACCAAACTATGTAGTAGCATGTGGTCATTGAGTCTATTCTGGAAATTGGAAACTATGGAATCGTGGCGGATGCTTTATGTTTACTAACTTACCATTGTAGAAGAGACTATTCCAGGTCCTGCCAAATCAAGAACATTAGTATCTTGCCTAAGGTTAGCTGGTTATTAGAGCTGAGTATCATGGCTGAGTATCATGGCTGACTATCACGGCTAAGGTTAGCTGGCTATCTAACCTCTATGGGTTTAGGGTATCACCGGTGATAAAGTGTTGTGGAGCTCCTGTTTTAATACTGTATTTATCATTCATCAAGACCGCACTACTGCTATATTAGGGCTAGACCCGTACTGTATATAACAAGCGATTATCACGGCTATCTTGCCAACATCGCGCCGTCTACACTCTTGGAAATTTCCAACGAATTTGGCTCTTGGAGCGGATCCCAGCCACTCGGTGAGCTAAATTCCATTGAAAAATATCTAACATGAATATTTGAACTTCCACTTCACGACATGTAAGAACAGAATGTGAAGGATGACCGCCTAGCAAAAGACACTAATCCCATGAGATGGCCTTTCTCCCATTTGGTTTCAGCGAACAGAGAATGCTGTCTGATGTCAGAATAAAATGACGGGAAAATGGATCGGACTCACGTTTCGTAGACTACTAATCAAACTCCCTGAGGCCACTGACAAGAGGAATTGGGTAGCGCGGCAATCGTAAGGCCATCGCTGAAAATTATCCTCGCCGGCCATTTTGTCCTCTTTCTCATACTTCTGCATGAGCTCCATCGTGACAACCTCCAAGGCCCTGCAATATTGTGGGGCTTTATCTTCTAGTATTTTAACACAGTCTTCAAGCGCTCCTGCCAAGATAGTTTAGGAAGGCTTTGTTGAAATGGAGAGAATAGCCTACCTATCTTAACGACGCCTCTTCCAGACACCAGGATGTTAGATGACGTGAGCTGCGGGTGCTCGATCCGCTGACTGGTGAGATATAACAGGCCATCGAGAACCTTCCGGCTACTATTAGGCTCCATAACCAAGTATGAAGTGCATGACTTACCTGGGCAAGGACGGCAGCAAGCTCGACTTCGTTTAGGTAGGCTTCGCAGGCAATCAGGTTGTCCATTGAGATCACAATATCCTGATAATCATAGACCGCGAATATCGACGCTTCATGCACGAAGCAGTCCCGGGACGAGAGAATGTTAGGATGTTCAATCGTCTCAAAGAGACGAAGCGTTGTATCGATGTCCCTCTCTCGAATTGTCCTGATTGCGACTAGCCGCGAGGGACGGACTTTATGGCTGGCTACCTCAAATGTCCTACCCAATTCGCAATCATACGATTTCCTGAAAGTGTCCCAAGGTGACTCGTGACGAACAACAAAGATGGTCTGAATACTTGCCGCCGATTTGGCTATCTGAGGAAGGGACAGAACTCTCAGAGGACCTCTCAGGCGCTTCTTGTAGATTTCCGGCTCGAGAGCTGGGGTGCTTTTCTTTGGCTGGGTGGGTTGGAGTTCCCCCTGCATTTCTTTCGGACCATCAAAGAGTTCCCCTTGGGACTCATCTAGGGGTAATTCCGGCCTATTATCATGCTCTTCCATTGAGTGGAAAATAAATAGAATAGTAGAATAAAATAAAATTAGTGAACAACCTGTAGGCAGCTGGTGGGATGCAGTGGTGGGAAGGAAAAAAGTGATGGAAGGACGCATGTGCAGAATAGGCTCAATATATAGTTTTACCAACCATATAAAGGCTGCTGAAACGACCATCGCCTGAACTAGAATAGCACTTGAGCCATCCACAGTTAAGGTATAAAAATGCCCTAACACCCGCCCAGAGATTCTAGTCCCCTCCATGGCCACGATGGACCCTCTTCAGTATACCGACAGAGAGACACAGCTAGCATCAGAGCGACGTCTCAAATTCCAGGGCACGGCAAAAGTCAATCTAGATGATATTTATTTTCCCCCTCAGACAGGCCGACAGATGGACCAAAAGAATGTCGACCGCTTGTGCGACGTCTTTCGAGAAGACGAGTGTCGGAATTTAACCATAGAGCATCGGGTGCCAGCCATCGTATCGCGGCATCATTTGCAAGCGGCTCAAGAGAAAGCAAATGTGGCTACAAGTATGTTGTTAACAAGAGTTGAATCAGAGATACCTCACCTCCAGTTCCCCCCCGGCCAGCTCCTTGCGCTGCATGGTCGACATCGGATTGCGGCGGGCCGCGAAGTATTGCCACCTGGCCACTATTGGTGGGCAGTGGACCTGTATTTAGACAGTATGATCCCCGCCTGGACATATCCGAAGTTATCTCACTCTGACGGATGGTAGATATCGGTGATGACCTAAAAACAAGCCTTATCGAGGAATATTCTAACGAGAAACCGCCAAGCGACGGAGAGATTTACCGCAAAATTCGACAGTATGCAGGCGACGGCAATCTTCACGGAGAGCTACGATGGAAAGCGCGACTCTGTCCCAACAGCCGGACCCGTTTTGAAGCACTTAGCAAGAACACCCGCCTGCGACATGCTTTCGACCGTATCCTGGGAATTCCAGGACATTGGAATGCCATGCGTATCAGCATGCTCCATCGGGTGATAGCGGTTCGATGTGACGAGGTTTGCCCCCACCCACTACCGTTGTTTCGGGGGACTCACAATCTCAGGAAATCGCCCATTATTTGAACTTCCTGGCGGACTTTTGGTATTCTTTGGTTGACCATGATCCCGCGTCAGCCGTCAGAATAGACCAGGAAACTGTCCAGAAACTTCAACTGCTAGCGCCGCGCATCGAAACACCCTACGTGCATGGTCTGGTCCTTAGCGGCCAGGTTTTTTCGGAATTCGATGAAAACGAGCGTACCGAGATCTGGGGGAAACTGCGGTCATTTAACGGTCTGATCCCCTCTCTATACTCCTTTTTTGAAGACTTCAAGTGTTTCGAAAGCTGGGCCCACTGTCTGCACCGGCTGTTTCCCGTGAGCAGCTCTACAGTTCGTCTTACTATGGAGGGCTCGCGGATACGTCCCAACAGTGGGGAAGATATGTGCATGGTCCAAAATTCCGAATCGACCTTTTTAAATAGAGTTGAGCCGGCAGCGAGGCATTTCGATATCTTCTATCGGCAATTGTGGTTATACGCAGGGCGTCATTATCCACAAATGCCTCGTGAGCCCAAACGCAAGAATCGGTTGGCCAAGCCGGGGAGTGCCACTGCAGACGCGTGTGTGGTGGCTGAAATGGCCCGCCTGGCAAGCCGGTTGGGGTTTAAATCCGACAGAATCACACAACTCGTTAACCAGTCTTCGGATCGGCTAATCGCCGCAGAGGCATTACGTCGAGCGCGCAAGCCAGATCAGTACGTGTACGATGAGTCGAGCTTCAATTCATCAGTGGATCAGATAGTCGATTGCTTCGCTACGGCCACGCCGAGGACCATCGAAACCGCCTCTCCCGTTCTGGCAAGCCCATCTGTGAGGCCAAAGGCTCGTTGTGGGCATCCTTCGGTGAAGGCTCTCCTACAGGACCGCCAGTTTCTCTTCTTGGACCAGATGCACGCACCAGAGGTCCCCGACCGGGTGACTTCGCGGTTTGTGAGGCGCTGTGTTTACCTGGCCTTCTTCGGGCCTCGAACAGACTTCGGACAAGAGCAGCAAATTTCGCCGCTACCTCCTCCTGAAGTGCCCGGTAGTGGACCCATTTCACCCATCTTTATAGCAGACGATGGCATGATGGACTACACATTAGGAGATGGTCAGCAACAAGCACATGCCCGTTCTGAGGACCAACGGCAAATGGCCGACCTGCAGGCCGTGGAAAATTCCTGTCTGCAGCGGCAGGCAGAAGATTTGGCTTGTCAAGCTAGGGAGGCAGAAAATACAGCTACCGCACATGCGGCTCAATTGGAACAGGCTAGGAAGGAGGCAAGCGAGAGAGCGGCCGAACAGGCTAGACAGGATGTGGCGATGCTAGAACTCGCCCGACGTGCGGAAGAGGCAGAATCCCGGATGGCTGCACAGGCAGCTGAGCTGGATTGGCTACGACAAGAGGCCGCGAGGGCCCTGGCAGATACCATTAAGGGAACTTCGCAAGTCGACGGGAGGCCGGTGGAGGACGAGAGTGAAATACCGAACGACGGAGAAGTTACCGAGGAAGACCATGACAAACAGCCGGATAACACACTCCAGGCTGATGCGGAACAGAGAGCCATTGGCGGGTGGGAGCCATCACAGTGGGATACAGACCGAGTGGTTCGTGAGCGAGCAGGTGCTCTAGCTCAATTACAGAGCCAGAACCAGGATAGCCGCTCCCAGCCGCGCGCTGAGGCAGAGCCAGTTAGAGCTATTCGGCCGATCACTGAATTTGATGCATCGAGTCTGATGGCGACATGGCGTGAACCTCAAAATCAAACGGACATCAACTCTGATTCTATCCCGCCGGCAATGCCATTAACAGAGGGACATATGGATACGACACGAACAGGGCCAGGTAGCCCATCGGAAGGCCACACCCATCCACAAGCACTAGAAGTAATAGGCCATGAAGGACCTGAGACAGAAGCACCAATCCCACCATGCGGCGTCGGTGAGCCTGCGATAATCCAAATGCTTCCCGAAGAGAACATCATCGCTGGCAACATCCCTTCAACAGGGGCTGTAAAGCAGAGACAACGTCAGCAAGCCAAACCCGGCAAGATCCAAAAGACATCGACGGCAAAGCCGACGGCACGGGATAGTAACCACGCAACCTTGCGAGCTGAGGCCATTGATATCGAGCTTGATGAGACCTTGGAAAGTTCTCAATCTGCCGAAACTACACCCATCAATGAAGGGACAGCAAGGACGCGCCAAGTTCGCTTTGATATCTCCCACGAGGAGGGGGCAGGCCATGCAACAGCTTCCGGAGAGGCTCGATCCCGGCCGGTAACTCAATGGGGTTTTAGAGAATTAGCTCGCAACACTTCTGTGAATGCAAATGAGGGTCAAGGCACCCCGGATAAGCTGGAGAAGGAGATCGACACACGAACTCGTCGAGGAAAGATCCCAATAACCTTTTTCCTCTATGCGCAGAATCAGTGGAAGGAGGCCAAAGTCTTCGAAATCGAACCGTCAAAACCATCGTCGCTGGAGCATGCGGTGCGGATATATCAGCAACAGGGGATGTATGTGTACGACATGAAAATGCGAACCATCAGCGCGCCGGCAAGTTTTCGAGCAGCTACATGTGACGGATGCAATGCATTGCTATTGATTTCACGAAAGACAAGGGATAAAATGGATGAAAGACGACAGATCCAACCGCCCACTATTGAACGACGCGAGAGGTAATTGTATGGCGGTCTTGTAAGGAGGGGCAGCTTCTGTTGACAGTCTCATGATAGTTATTCAGATATGCCAACACTCTTAGGTCCATTGTAGTCTCAAGCCTTCCCCTGTAATAGGACAGTCATGACAGCATTTGTCTCAAGACAGGAAACATAAGACAATTGAAGACCTGTGACAAGTGGCACAGGCCAGTGGGTACAAATGTCTTGGCTTGGGTAACTTGGCTTAAACTAATCCAGCCATGACAATAGGCTCAAGACTGGATTCTTGGATCCACATCTCTCTCCCCGCAAGAGCAGCTTTTTGGTAGCTGAGGTATTCAAGCTAAAGTATTTAGAGTCTAAGCTCATATATTTAAGACACCTAGGAACATGAATTTGCGAGCATGGAAGAAGAGCATGGAAGTACGAGCATGGACGTAAGAGCATGGACGTAGGAGCATGGAAGTAAGAGTATGGACGTAAGAGCATGGAAGTAGGAGCATGGACGTAAGAGCATGGACGTAAGAGCATGGACGTAGGAGCATGGACGTAGGAGCATGGAAGTAGGAGCATGGAAGTAGGAGCATGGAAGTAGGAGCATGGAAGTACGAGCATGGACGTAAGAGCATGGAAGTAGGAGCATGGAAGTAGGAGCATGGACGTACGAGCATGGACGTAAGAGCATGGAAGTAGGAGCATGGAAGTAGGAGCATGGACGTAAGAGCTTGGACGTAAGTGCATGGAAGTACGAGCATGGATGTAAGAGCATGGACGTAGGAGCATGGACGTAGGAGCATGAAGTACGAGCATGGACGTAGGAGCATGGACGTAAGTGCATGGCGCCCATAGCTTGGTTTTAGTCGTGTCAAGCACACCCTTTGATAGGGAGCCGAGGTCATATTTACCCATCCTATCACCAGATAGGATATTGCCCGGAGGATATAAAAGGGTCAATCGCTCCGGTGTTCACCGTATCACTTCCATTAACTATCACTGTTCCAAAATGCAAAACCAAGAGCAGGAGAGCTCCCCTCTTTCTGATGGGGAGATTCTTCATCAACTTCAAGTCGTGCCTGCCAGTCAACAGGGGAAATATCAGAAACTCTTCAGCACATCTAAGAGACGTCTCATCAAGCGGCTAGAAAATAAATTTCAGTACGAGTCTGTGAAGAAGGTACTGCTTCAGCTTTTAGAGTATCCAGGGCTACGTTCCAAATTCAGGGCAGGGGTATTTAGCAACTGGTTCGTCATGAAATGTCCGGAGGTAGGTCGGAAGATTATGTCCACATCATCTCTAGTTTGACTGACCAGCTGACTGTGATATGTACCAGGAAATAACACACTACCTTACACACATCCTCAGCGTGTGGTCGTATATCATGGGCCCCGGTGGTACTCAGGACCTGGATCCAAAATCCGTCGAGCTGCTGCAAGGGCGTTCACCTGTTTGTTGCGCAGCGGACTATTGTTATATCTCTAACCAGATCGAGGCCGGTGTGCTCTTCTCCCATGTAGAAGACCCAGAAAAGCGCATTGCTATCGCTTACCGGGCTCTCTCGATTCCCACCATAATCCCATCATTATTCACGGTCATGGAGGACACCAAATATCTCATGCCATGTGCGCAGGCTATAAGAAAGCTCATCCGGGATGCTGCAGAAGATACCATCCGAGCATGTCTTTGGAGTCACTATCATCCACAGTGCCCTGCCATCCGCGCCCATTCCACCTTTCTCCAGGCATACCGAACCCTCTGGCTCTTTACAATGCAGCATTTTCCTGACCTGGGTGAGGGTAAGCCACTGCTGGACGGACGTGGCTGTGAACGAAAATTTCATATTTCCCCAGAGATTACGAATCAACGTAGGAGCGCTCTGGCGCAGCTGGCCCTGTCTCTTGGCTTCGACACCCCCCAAATCCAGGACATTCTCCGGGCTCTACCATCTCTCTCGATACTGCCCCCTCTCGCATCCAGCAATAAACCTAGGCTCACCCAACGGGGATTCGGTAGGTGGAAGCTGGGTGCCTGTAGTGGGATGCCTTGCGAGTCGTCCTTCATGCAGAGCCGGCCGTTCATGACCTTGCACAATATCGATAAACCGCTTCGAGGTGGTGAAGGTCAAACTCTGACACCTTTTGCGGTTGCCCGAAATGTGTTTCAGGCATTTCTTGGTCACCTTCCATCGCTGCCTGAGGACTCTGCAGAGTTTCACGAAACACCGAGCGCCAGGGAAGCCAGCACATCGAATGTGGAAATTTCCTCGCTCTCAGAAGTACAGGGCCACTTCCATCCCACACGCTCCTTGTCATGCGCACGCCATCCACCGTCTGGGTCCAGTAAGAGAAGAGTAAAGAATAACACCTTGGCGGCCCATCCTCCTTTGTCGCCCCAGCTATCATGCACTAGCTACAGCTGTAGTATCTGCTCGCGGAGGACTAGTTATACGCCCTCTTTCTATGGTCCCTCTAACAATTCATTTAATTATTCACCAAGCCGGAGCCAGTTACAGGCTTCAATGTTGCAGAATGACTTGACAGGGCTAGAATCAAATCCCCGTGTCCGCTCTCGCCCTCCTACGCCCACATTGCAGACGAATCCTACATCGCTACACGATGAACCTGATATGGTATACAGTAGTCTAGACATACGGGAACAAAATCAACTGAACACGGATGCTTCCCCGATCTCAAACTCACAGGACCACATCCAACCTAAAGACTTATTATCCCTCGTGAGGAATCCTCCACCTTCCCGAGCTAGCAGCAGACATGCAGGGGAAAATACTTTGGAGATTCTTCCTCTTTCCTCGCCCAAGACATCAAGCAGTATCTACAGCCGTGGTACTTGTTCGCCGCGGAATAGTACCCCCTCTTTCTATGATTCATCGAATAATTCACCAAGCCAAGACCGGCCACAGGCTTCACTGTTGCAGTACGACTTTACAGCGTTGGCGGAATCAAATCCCTATATCCACTCTCACCCTCCCACGCCCACATTGCGGACGAATCCTGGCGCGCTGCCAACAGCCCCACTGCCGCCTAGCCTACCGGCCCCGCGCCCCACTCCGCGCCTGGGACTTCTAGGCGAAAAAACCCTCGAGGATCCAAGAGATATTCAACCCCCTTCTAGAGAACAGGGCAGCGGGAAGGCTGTGCTATATGAGGTGGGCAGCCCAGCCATAACTTATCAACTACCACTCGCACGTCTTACAGGGGTGTGCCAAGTGTATTCTCGGGATCACCCAAACTTTTGGTACGCAATCTGGTCTGAAGGTCAGCTTCGACAGGTCGAATTTGCTACAGTGCCAGATCATTTGCGTAGGAATGTGGTGATTACAGGCCCCATAGAGCACTGGGAGAGAGCTCAATGTGGTCAATTCACTGGTGAGTCCCCCAGTGAAAGCCCAACTTGGCTGGATGAATTAGGGTACTCTGAGTATTTTCAGCTCCAAAAGTAATGTCAACCCAAGAGTTTGCCATTGAACCCTGTTAAACACAACCGTCTATCGAGGCCGCCAGTGAAGTATCAAATTCATGCAATCTGGATGTCACCCTGTGCGGCGAAAAGGCCGCGGGATATATTTATTGCAAGATGAATTTTAACAGCTCTTTGTTTGATGATCTCGGCGTTTAATTGTTCAAAAATCATTTTACTAGCACTTTCGCCAGGTGAATGTCTGGGGATAAATATGTAGAACACTGTGTCCCACACCTGCTTTCTCCATCGGTTTTGAGAGGAAAAGTGATATTATCTTGTTTATAAACAATTTTCTGTGATTACTTGCTTCAGTAATATATTTGTCTATCTAGTTATCACACTCTCCATAAATGTTGGGTACTATATAAATCAAATACCTATTTTAACTGCTGCAGAGACAATAAAAACTCCACCGGCCCTCGAAATAAGTCTTCCCAATCCGAAGTGAAACGTGCTCATGCTTGGCGGCTGGACCGAGGTACCGTATAGTAACTCCTACTTTATCCCAGGTTTTTCGTGTTTGTTTAGTGTCCTTCTTGTGTGACTAAGCCTGCTTTAAGGAGGCGGGATGGTTTTACTGGTGTTGCATCTGCCGTGAAGCGTCCGGTTGCCGCCACTGCAAATTGATTCTTTATTCTCTGGGTCACTTTTATAGGCGGGGCTGGCTTGCGTGCGATCAGCCAAATCCAAGATAAAGCTGGTGACATTGTGTGAAGGGTTGCTCCAGGAAGGAAGAAATTGCTTCTGAGGAGAATCTCTTCAACAGCTGCGGATGGAGAAATCGAATAGTGAAATTCGGTGGAAAGGGCGGGAGTAGGAACTTCGTCATTTTTTACACTGAGAGAAAATTATGGAAAGGCGGCGAAGTCAAGCTTCACATGGATATTTTTCTCTCAAACTAGGTACCAGATAATGCCGGGAAGCTTAATTAGCAATTCAGATCTTAGTTACTGTATTCTGTCTCAATTAATCCCTACGATCCATCGCCAGTGGAACGAGCTGCGAAGTATACATGGGAGAATTATTGCGCCAGAAGGGCGATTATTTTAAGAGTTATACCATATGGTGACGTTCGTGACAATAAGCTTATGGCTAGACTATCATATGAATTAAGTAATTTGGAAATTCTACTGGAAATCCTTTCTTACTGTAAGAGGGAAATCTTGTGAGATTCTTGTGAGGACATTGGTCCAGAACTGGAGCAAAATTTTGGCACAAAGCACATTTGCAAAATGCAAGGGCCTGGGTGTGATGGAATGCATCGTGCTTCCCATTCCTAAGAGACCAAGTCATAGTAGGCATTTCGGTAGAACAGCATCCTGGCTGAATATCAGCATATAAAGGTGTCCAGTCTTCCAGGGTGTGAGAGCATACAATCAACACACTCATCTTTACTCTTCTGCTTTTGAATACTTTTAGTTTCTTGTTCTGGCCTATTTTAAGTGTCTAGATTTGACGGTCCGCTGCAAATGGATCAACAAAAGCCGCTACCCCCACCGTTGGAGTGCTATCGGGATGAAAAGAACCAAAGATCTCTCAATCAGAGCGGTGGCACTCTTCCAGAGCAACTGATGTCCTCGCAGCAAGCAGGAGGTGCCAAATTCAAAGACACTTTGGACGCTTCTTCATCGGCAGTGAGTGGCCCTGCGAGTATATCTAATTCAGGAAACATTCTAAAGGTATGTATGCGGCGTGGCTTTCTTATCCACTTAAGCACGAATTAATTTTGGATTGGGCAGCCACTCAAGGAGTGTAGGAAACGACGCCAAAAACGTACAGCTTGCGCAGGATGTCATCGACGAAGAGTTAAGGTGAGAGAACGGATGACCGGTTAGGCTGAAGCGGGCGGACATTTGGTCTGTTATAATTTGCTAACTCATGGGAACAAACAGTGCTCTGGTGAGCGCCCCTGCAATGCGTGCCAGATAAGGGGAGATGTCTGCGTTGCGCGTGGTCCGGCTTCAAAGAGCCAGACGAAGCTCCATTCACAGTCTCAGGTCACTCATCAGGCAGAGAGTAAACAAGACCAAGGAAGCACTCTACCCAGTGATGGCTCGACCCCAAAATCCCATGCAGTGTTCCTAAAGAGCCACAAGGATCACTTCTTGGACATCGTGGAGCAGCTCCCTGAGAAGGACAATAACATCACTTTAGACCCCAGCGGAACTTACCTCCGCAATTGTCTGACTAGGGAGTGTGACGTCGAATGCAGCGCATCCAACCATTTCTATGAAGATGTTCCTTCTGAGCGTGAATGGGGAAATCTAGTTAACAGAAGGCCCTCCGGCTCACAGGCGAATATCAGTGAAGCATTAGACTTGCCCTATCCGGCGGACGGGACCGAAGTATTCCCCCCAGTTGAAGATGCTAATTGGGGGCCCACCTTGGAACAAGACATGCTAGCAGCAAGTACTCTGGTGTCTATTACTACTGCACCGAACCCTGTGGAAACAATTCCAGTCAGTGACTGGATGCCGGATCTTCCAAGAGAGTTCCCGAGCCAGGTTAATACACCGGCACCCTTTCTCCTTGCATCTGATCATGCTGCTGGGCTGACTCCAATCACATTTGAGGGATCGGATTATCAGAATCAAGACGGTAACTTGCCCGGGCAGCGCGAGCTAACTCCCAGAGCTCACGAGCTATCCTTATGTCGGCCATTCTCCTCTTGGCGCCACAGCGACGAGGCTGGGTGGCTGGGTGCCCCGGAAGAGTTATTTTCCATGACAGAACCTCAACCATTCATGGATTACAATTGGATCTGGAGTCAAACTGAGCCCAACCCGCCGACCTACGCTCCTGGGGAGAATTCGCATCTTAGAGAACTGGTACCGGGTGTTAGTCCTACAAGCATGTACTTGTCTCGGTCACCTTGGTCTCAAAGTATCATGCATAACGGTGAAAATAGTTTAAGCCCCTTCGAACAGCTTGATAGGAGCGTTGAAGAGCACCAGCATGACGGCAACCCCTGAGTCTGCCGTGCAAGTTAACCTGAATTTTGCTATATTCACAACGCGCGCTTTTTTAGCAGTGGCCTCCTTATGTTCACTCAACTCAAGTATTGTTATGTACCTTGTTGACGAAATTGTAACTTAATAGCTTATAGTTTTTCATTATTATTATTATTATTATTATTACTAGTACTGTTACTGTACCGTTCTGTTTACTCTAGCAAACAAAGACTGCTGGCCAAATAAAGATAAATTAGGCCTAAATCCATGCATCCAACTTGAGAATTAAGCCCTCCTATTTAGACATTATAATACGCAATACTTTTAACACTTCTACTAAAAGTCAAAGCCTCATATCTACTCATTTCGGGCTTTAAAGGACCAACAATTTGAAGAAGCATGAGTACCTTTTGGTCTAAGCCGAGCATATTGTTATAGTATATTATACGCCGCTTGAGTTTACCGATTAGAAATACTACCTGTCGAGATTTCCAACACTCTTGTGCTGCAGTGCATCGAAAGATACAATATATCGAAACAAATGCGACCAACACTGGGATTTTGACGCTGTAGACCTACAGGTAGAGAACGAGCGTGGGTCATTAAAGTGTCTATTGCCTTATCTGCAGTAGCGATCTCAAAGGAGGGATAGCTGCTAGGGTATGCTGTTACCTATTATGTACACAGAAATATTTATACTGACCAGACTATTTACCGTCGCATGGAATCACCGAGTCTATTCTGAAACATGAATGCCGGTGGATGCCATATTACCATCGCAAAAGAGACTATTCCAAGTCCAGCCAAATCAAGAGCTCCAGTGAAGTACGAGATTTTGGATATCTGTCCGATTATACATATGGGATATTGGTATGGAGGTGAGAATTGAATGTATTCAGAAGGATGTTCTGCCCAACCCCTCTATGAGGAGTATTGGGTATATATATTCACATGATGTCCCAATATGGACTAGCTTTATTCTGACAATATCCAACTTTCTATAAACGGGAAGGTAGCTTCACATAAAATTGCGAGTGCCTTTTCAAGCCGACGAAAATCTTGCCGTGGCGTAGAAATGGGCCGTCCCTCGAGTTGACTTCATAAAATTTTCCACTTAAATAAGTTTGTTACTATACGTACAGTACATAGCAAGTTGGCCATTTGCTTGCCTTGTGTGCTCGGTGATCATGCTGCGCAAACCATTGAATACTGTATAGTGTAGTATTTTAGGACCTAGGTTATATTAGATAACACTTTCTTAGGAAGAAACCATGGAAATTTCTAATATTGCCCGAGGAAAAGTCTCTTATCGGTAGATCTGACTAAAACCAAAATGTCATCGGCAAGATGCCTTCTACGTGTGAGCAGTATTCTCCTTGCGCCCCAACTAGTTATCCATGTAGGACAACCATCATTTATATGAACATTTTCTATGTATAATTAACGATTAACTCCCCAGCTATCGCTTACTTTTAGAGTTTCGTTTACTCTAGGAAAGATAAATTATTTCATGCCTGATTAGGTACTGTAGCTATTGAGGGTGTTGTTCCAAACTTGCCACTGTCCCCGGTCAATTTGATTGTAGCACGGAATGCAAATCCAAAGCAAATTAAATACAGAAATAACCCTAGTATGCCTACCACTGTCTGATAATCTTCGTCCCGAGGATCTTGCTAGTTCATGGAGGCTGCTCGTCTTTTTCGTTGTTTGTTGGTTCCGCGAAGACCTAAGTGGCCTACTTCAACGTCCATGGCTAGAGCAGACTCACAAAATTCGAGTTGAGAGCACTGCTGCAGGCTAATGCCCAGGGACTGCATACAACCTTCTGACATTAGCGGATGTGTCAAGCCACCCGTTACGTGATCTGGGGAAGCCTGGTTGCCTTGTAAATGTGACGATAGTAGTGGCTTAATTTCAAGAGGAATAGGAGATGTCTTGGCTCCTGCTGAACTGATTAGCATCTCTGGACACAACTGCTGGAAAAATTTATCATACCATCAACTTTTGCCGTAATGCGACGTTTTTTGAACGCTGGAGGATGGGTACTGCTCTTATTCAGGTGGGAATTGACAATCTGATCCTTGACTGCACTGTCTTTAGAATCATGTAACAAAAAGGTATCTCCACCAAAGGCAGTGGCACCCGGGTTTTCATTTTGTATGCGGTGCCCAGATGAATCTACTATGGATAAATCTAGCTTCAGCCGCGGGGAAGGTTCGTCTTGGACCAGTGCCGGCTCCTTGCAGTCTTTTATAGATGAAACCCAGTCCACTTCCCCGAATACACAATCATCGGTGTCAGGCTTGTCGCGGTCTAAATAAAAGCATGCGATATTTGAGCCGGAATCTGTGGGAAGTTGATTTCCAAGACCACCAGCTCCTTCCCTAACATGCGTGGTGCTTGACGGAGTATTCGGTATTGTGTCACCACCATTGCCATCGCAGAGTCCAGGGGAGTCATATTCAGTATCGATTAAGATAGGGTTAGCTGCGGACCCTAGAGGAGCGTGCTCCTGTTCGCTGCGAGCGAAGAGAATGCTTTTTTTCCCAACATCAGCCGGATCATCAAATGATCGTAATATTCCTCTTTGGAAAGTACCTGAAGGATTTTGAGTAATAGCACACTAGATTTAGGGAGCATATTTCATACTTTCCATTATATAGAAGCTCTCGTGCTGAGGGCCCAAAATTGTCAACTTTCAGAATATATAGGAGCAAAAAACTAGGCGAAGAAAAGAAAGAGTTTACAATAAGAAAAACGCAAAAAATAGTTTGCATAGTGCAGTTCCAGTTAAGGACACCGGACTTTATATCCTTGTTATTCACACCAAATCCATTCCATTCCATCCAACATACTGCACTACAGCTAACTATGCTATTACACACGGAGCGCTCGTTCTTCACAGGGAAAACGCAAACTCCTATCACAGTAATAGCAAAAGTACACCTGCAGAAAGGCGAGAGATATGCCAATCCATATGTATCTATCCATCCATTCATCCTCTATAGGCGAACAGGTAATTTGAGGCAGATAGAGTGGCAGCTCTGACCTTGTAGGTACTGTACACATATGCTTGGTAAGAACTGAAAACATCGTTTCCGAGCCGATCGACCAACCCATTGCAAGTTTTGAGGTGACCAGCATAATAAATCCCGCCAGCCATGGGCCGGATGATTGACCCACACATCCTTACTGACCCAGGATCTAAAATCGGGAAAAAAGTCTATCTAGTACGCCATTATTATTTTTTTCCACTTATTTTTCTCTCTTTCTCATTTATTTAAACATCCTCTAGATTCATAGATTAAGTCACTTATAGTCCCTATAGGATCTTTATCATGGCCAAACGCAACACTAAGACTTAGCCGCTATAAGAGTTTATTATTAAGTAGTCACTAAAGTTGAGTTCGTCTGAATAGGAACTGCCGGTAATGTACGTCCAGATTCATAAATAAATAATAATAGACTAACGGTGGAATCAATTAAGCATTTCTTTGCATCCTGGATTTTAAGTTTAGCTTTTCTGGTTCATACTGTACAAACAGCCAGATAAGCTGGCTAATATGCTTTTTTCCACAATACACGCATAAACAACCTATATATATGTCATATAAATGTAGACTACATAGAGCTGCCACTGGGTAGACTAGCAGCTGCCTTGTCGTTCGAATAGTGCTCATATGTCCTTGCTAAAACCGAACAGGCTCAGTGTTTAATTGCACCGAAAAAAAATCAGCATACTCCTGATCAATGGTTCTCAGGGCAACTCCAAAGTCCCTATGAGCCTTTTCAAGCTTTATAAAATTGCCTTGAATCTGATCTAGAGCAATCCCATAGTCGTCAACTGCGGTTTGGTATATGCTTTTCATCCGAGCAAATGGAAAACGCAATACGCTTTTTCTTGGCCAGAATGAGCGTCGCTTGTCCTCGAGCATTAGATGGTCAAATTGCTGAAAAGCCAAACTAAGCCTTTTTACTGACTCCTGGTCGCGTAATGTCGCCCCAACATCTGCTTGAAACATAATGGCTGCACGACGGACTTTTCTATAATAGGCATTTTCCGCTCGAAGATACGATGCCTCATAGACTGCACGAATGCACTTTTCCTTGTCAGTCAATGATTCCTTTTTTGACCATTGCAATCGGCAGGGCAAAAGTTCGACTGCGGAAGTGTCGCCACCATGCTGTACGATTTGGAACTCAACCGAAGTAGGCCGATCTGGGTGGCTGAAGTCGTGCCAAATGCTTGAATTTCCCCTCTCAACGTGACGACTGGTGGAAGGTATTGGATTTCTTTTCGAGGGGAGTGAAAGCTGTCCGGAAGGAGACATTCCTAAGGTAGCCAATGAAGTAATGGTACTATAGCCACACACTAAAGCGAACATAGAAAATAGGAAATTTACAGTGAATTACAGTATTTATATATAACCTTATAGTTAGAGTAGCCCCAAGGCGCCAGTTTATACGCAGTTAACGTGCACATTATTCAAGGCATTTTATCAGAAATTTAATATCGAAAAGGGTGCCAGCCACAATCTTTTGTGATCCTACTTTAAAAGAAGAAACGAACTCATATGTACAGCTGGTTAGTTGGTTAGTTCTTTACTAGTCTGGGTTGCCCCTGGGGACGTCGGGATTGGTGTAAGTGTTTACTGTGTTTCCTTTTTGTTTCCTTTTGATGCCATCTTTTCGAATAGCCTTGGTGTCTCCTGTGTGTGTAGCTGGAGTCGAAAGCGGTGTCACCCATTCATGCTCTTTGATTGCCCAACTAATTGCTCTATTCTATACATAATGCCTGTGTTAATTTCTAAAATTATGATATTTGTCATGACCTATTCAATCTGGAACATTCGATCGAGAAAACCGCTGCGTCGGGAGCAAAATTCTATGTAGTATTCAAGGGCAGCGTCCTTGAACTGTTGTCGCTTTATATAGCTAGGTTCATAGCGCCATAGCAGTATGTATTAGCATTCGGTAACTAACGGAAATAATGAGGTCAACATATAGTAATTTGTCCCAACATCACTAATTCTGGATCCTGCAAGTACAATCAAAGAAAGAAAACCGCAGCGCATTGTTGCACGCTTCAACTAGGTGAAGTCGGAACTGCGTACCTGGTTCCTGGCGCTCGCCGCACCAGTTCATCCTTCCAAGCGTCAACCTTTCAACTTCATCGAGAATCAACTACTGACTACTGAATGAAATCAATTTGTTCTTCCCTTTGAGCTTTCGTGTTTTACACGCATAGCAGGTTTCCACAGATAAAGTTCTAGTTACATTACCATTGGAAATAGCCTTAACCAGTAATTCCACTGGGATCCTATGGAACCAATGCAACAAAAGCGCTCGCTTTTCTAGAAGTGGTGCACTGTAAGCATGTATGAACAATTTCTCTTAAATAAAAATATTTTATAAACAAACTTCCAAATCCAAGGGTAGTCTTACCATCCGCAACTAAACGAGTTGGATTTTCCGGATGGGTTCCAGGGGGCCAGCATCCATGATCCTCGCCGTAGTGAGTCTTTAAAAACTTATGGATGACACATATAATTGACCGACTTTCGTACTTTTTGAAGTTATCAATCACTTCCCTGTACAAGCAGGATGTACTGGGATGTTTAACATAGAGCCGAAAAAGGGTGTTATGCTGTTTGATATTTGTCGAATTTTTGATATTTCTTGATTTGTTTCCTGCCATGGGCCAAGCGCTCAGATTAGATGTCTCCTCCCAAAATATATTAAAGCTTGGAATTACCATTCAGCTGATATACAGGACCTGTGGCAATAGTATCAGTTTTCGATGGGGCCCTTCTGTAGCTAGGCATCTTAAGGTGCCAAGTACAACTACAGGAACAAAAACATACAAAAAATAAAGGGGGAGGGGATATGAACAACAAAAAAATATTGGTTCTCTAGAGTATGTGAAATGGCCAGTCCTAGGAATTAATATAATGGAGCCCGAAAGGCAAAAGACATCAAAAACAAAACAAAAAGAGAAAAAAAAGGCTGACACAGCTTGTGATAGTGGTGTTGAAGACTAGGGTTTAAGAATTCTTGTCTGTGCGGGGCCCAAGTGAAAGAAGACGATAGAATATCATTAGCGTAATAGAAAACAGATTTAAAATGTTTAAAAGTATATATATGGTGCTCCTCCTATTTGTTACACATGTTAGAGACCTTGAGAGTAAATTTTTTTTTTTTTAAAAAAAAGATTTAAGTGCAAGGTTAAACCAAAAATTAGGTTTAATAGCTTATAGAAATTTTCCTAATTTGATAAAAACTTTTGTAATATATTTTGTGTCCCTCGTTGCTGTAAAGTATCCTCCCAAGCTTATTCTAAAACATTTACATCCCACTTGCGGCATAGTGGTAAAGTCAGGTCTGCCATGCCCTGAACAACAAGAGATACTGTACTAGCAGTGTTCTGCGGAAGTATTGGACACCTTGTACTTCACCTTATCTTAGTGTACAGTATTACCCTATCAGAAAATAGCACGCACACTCTTTTTTTTTCTGGTTTTGGCTACAACAACCCTATAGCGATTGAGAATGCGGACGAAGTAGCCATTCCCACTCTTTAAAGAGGGGTCGACTGAGTATCGGTTTTATGTGCAGAAGGCCCACAAGGCTAAGATAGTCCAGCGCACCAGAAGATACTATTATTGGCCGCCTATTGTTATTTACTAACCATAATTGGAATAGCCTATCACCAGTCATACACTATCCTGGTCCGGTTTAGTATTTTATGTACTGGTGTTTAAATGTATTTGGAGTCCAATGAAGTCGTTGCTATAACGGAGTGGCCGGTTAGTTACTGTACATACTGTAGAACCAAGACTCTCGCCCAATAATTTCTTCTTCGGAATTGAGAACAATAAGATGAAGCGTATTGTCTACAAGAATAAAAACTAAGACTCTTGATATAATCAATATTGTATGGCTAAGCATATAAAAATCTTCTGTATAGATCCTTTAGGGACCTCTACAGCGAAATTTAACTCCAATGACTGTTATATTAAATGCAACAGTTTCTCCTTTATAAATACGTGTTGGTACCTAAAATGCATGATGCACCCAGTAGCAAGTAATTATAAATACTGATCTATCATTTCTTGTTCTCCTTCATCCGCAAGTACCCTGTGAATATTAAAGAATCTGGCTCTTTCTCAATATGGACTACAGGAGAGCAACTTTATTAATTGTGTTTTTCTTTGAACTTCAGTCTGTGATGAGGTAGGAAATCTGACAGACCCCCTGGCCCGTCATCAAAAATTGATTTCGATATAGCTGCGTGTTGCCCAGTACCTGGCTTGATAAAGGTATTCTTGCTACCTCAGACAAAACGGCTGCACACATAGAAGTAGCAACCAGGGTCGTTACTCAGACTATCTGGGAGACATTGGGCCCAAAACATACCAAAAGTACTGATGCAGCTGATCCAACTACGCGTGATCTATCATCTTCCATCTTAGGTGGAAACCACAACACAGCTCGTCCAGAGGATGCTGCTGCGGAGAAGTCTGTTGGAGCTATAATATCGGTAACAAAGAATAAAATTCTTTCGCCGACACAAGCCTCTATGTCTAATTCCCACGTTTCAAGACTGAGAGTCAGTGATGAATTTGGAACAGTTGTCCAAGCCGATCAAACCTCAATTAATCCTCTATCTTCGACACCAGAGCGTCATCTGCCGGCATCGGCCCTAATGACCTCATCTACTCCCTTAAATATTAGCCCAAATACCGAAGCCGATGCCGTTTTTACGGATGCCAATGCCACAGTTCAGCTGTTCATTGTCGACGTGGGAGCCGCGCCTCTTCACAATAACTACGACAAAAATAGATTACTCTTCCAGCCCCAGGCGCTCCAGGTCCTAGAGGGTGACACCGTCCTGTTTCGTTTACATGGCCCATATATTCTCTATCAATCGGACCACGAAGACCCCTGCCACCTGCCACGCCTGAGCCTAAACTCTGTGCCGAATAATGACACAATTACATCATACCGTTTTACAGTTCAATCTTCAGAGTCTATTTGGTTTTCGGCCAGCCCAGTCGATAGGCCGTTTGCTTGCAACAATGAGACAACATTTGCTATAAACCCCGGCCCCATGTAAACACTCTTTATAAATGGTTCGAACTGTGTTGGTGGTGTGCGATGTCTAGATAGGTGTCCTACACAATGGATACTGTAAGTATGGGATGTGTGTGATTTTCAGCCAGCACTGGGCATGTAATAGCTAGTTATAGTACAGGTAGATCACAATGCGATTCATGAGAGTAACAACATAAGTAAAGCACTGCAGTATTATAGTTTCCTCTTTGTATATGACTGCAATATAATTCATGGTAATTTTTAAAGGGCTGATGCAACTAACTTGCAAGGTGAAACTGTGCTATGTTTTGACTTTGTAAGACTTAGCAGATCGATGGACAAAATTGTGTATTATCCGGAACAGTGGTAGAGGCCAGAGTATAATTATCAAGCACGAATAAAAGACCTTGGTTTTGTATTTTTAATGTTCAGGATTTTATCTAGAGTGCTGATGTTTAGCGTTTTGCCCTTGCATATTATTATAGTATCTTCAAGAAACGCGATTTATTGCTATAGATGTTATGTACCGTGACTAGTAGGCTGTTATAATAACAACATTTTCTGGATAAATGTTATCAATTTAAATTGTATACACTGTACGTCCTGTACTGTCTACTCTATAAACTCGCTTTGTGCAACTAAACTTGTTTTATCAAGAACTGTGTGTACGTACATATACGAGGTGAAATAGTATTACTTAAAAGCTTGCAGTACCCATAAATGGGGCGCTGGGCTTTACAACGGAACTTGGGCACTTTAAAACCCCACCGCTACAAAAGGACAAAGTACATACCAACTTAACAAAGAAAATTTCCAGACACATAAGAAAACGCCAAGAGCTCGTGAAGTTGTTTTGATTAGCACCCGCTAGGCACCAATATTCAGTTAAGACTGTATATATGGAACATCCGTGGGTCGCATAGTCATCATCTGGTTGCAAATAAACCCCAGCGCATTAAACTCCCCGGCTGCACAACTTACTGTCGGGCACGAAGGGTCGTTGGATGTTACTGAGATCTTATGGCGGGTAAATTCTGCATCGCTCTTCATGTTGATGTAGGAAATGTCCCAGTATACTGTAGGGTCAGATCTGGTATATTCGAACTGCAATATATTGCTTAGACTTGGTCAGTGGCAAGCTTGATTGATATGCCACCATCGTTTCGGCTCCTCCACGGTTGAAATAGAATTTATCCTTAGGAATAGTGATTATCGGGCCGGAGTCTCAGCGACGGACCAAGGTAAATGGTATTATTTAGATATTTGCAACTATGACTCCGCCAGGTCGAGAAAATTGATCCAGGGCGACCCTGTCATGTAACGACCAGATCTGCCCAGCAGCAATAGCAAGAGAAGGTGCAGTGAAAAAACAGACCAAGCCTGGGAACATTGCTTTTCTCTCTTCTTCCTCTGTGTGGTTATCAACAAGAAAGGCCAGTGATACCTCGAATATAGGAATAATATCTCTTGGTGTGGCGTCACTGTTGGCATTATAGGTATGGTCTACTTATATATAATGGAATGCTGCTGTTACATAGCGTATATTGCTGGTTAAAAAATGGACCCTTTTACTCATATCTTATAAGTTACTATGCGTACTAAATAATTGAGTATACAATGAGCACCATCCTAGAAGGATAGTCATTTATGTATCTATACGTTGCTTATTATAATCTCTCCGTTCTATCACATGTGGGATGCTATTATTTTAAACTACAGCAGACTCTCTGCTTGAGGTTCATTACACAATATATCTTATGTAGTAAAGTCATTTTCTTCAGGGATCTATTCTTCGCACACCCACAGCTACCGTATTTGATAAGCAATGTCTAATAGTTAACTTTCCTACCGTCTGAGTTCGCACCATGTACTACACTCCCAGAACAAAATCCTAGTATTCGCTGAGACAGAATGGCCCTAGAGAAAAACAGAAAAAATTTCCCTTGGTCATAAAGCAATTATTTCAGGGCTCTAGCTTTGTAGTGTTCTCAATCTATTCGAATTCACTCACGCCTTTACAGATATACAGTATGCATAGTATACTGTAATTCTGGTACCAACTCGAATCACCCTTGGAACAAATTTATGTATACATATTCTATATTTTGTTTTAAATATGCTTGGGTGATATTTTATCTTCGACCTAGAAGGTACCTATAACACGGCATTCATCCCTGTAAAACAGCGGCTCCTTTAACAAGATTTCTGCGACAATATTAGCATCCTTGGCAGCGCATAATGACAAGACCGAATTATAAATACCGGGCCTGATGCCGTCATCGAAACATCCTAACGTGCAGAAACTACATGCCAGTTATTTTCTAATATATCAACAAAAGTAAAGAACATTTGCCTACTTTCTTTCCTAGGTTTGGTTCTGGTTTCTTAGTGCTAGCAATGGGCAAATCAAGCAAGAAAAAGTCTGTTCTTCATAGAAATGCACCGTACGATGATGAGCAGAACAAATTCTCCTTGCTGCGCGGGGAGACATCTACGTTGGGTGTGGACTTAGATGGAGATACACCAATGGATGAGAATGTCAACAATTCCGTCAACAGTCCAGGCACAAAGACCCACCGTGCAGGGCAGTATACTTTGGAGCAGCGAGAAGCGGTAACAACAGTTCGCAACTGCTCTGATAAAGACTACTACGGCATCTTGGGGCTGCAAAACACTTGTACTCGGAAAGATATCTGCACCGCGTATCGAAAACTCGCGTTCTTGACACATCCGGATCAGAATAAGTTTGAAGATGCGGAGATAGCATTTAAAAGTAAGACCGCGACAGCACATAGCTTTTGTTGGCCTCTTGCTCGGCGATGCAGAGCAAACCTGCTAACGAAAACGCTCTCCAGAACTAGCACAGGCCTATGAAGTGCTTAAAGACCCTGAATCACGAGCCGAATATGATAAAGTGGGCGACCGGTATATGGCAAATCCAGTCATGGACCCATACAATGTGTTTGGCGAAGTATTTGCATCAAACGCGGGTGGGGATGAGACTGATGCTTCTGACGACTCTGATGATAACTCAAGCTTGAATGGTGATGGCATCCAACACAGGCCATGTCAAGAGGTTCTGGACGTTTACAGGGGGGCTACGGCATCGGTCAACCAATACCTAACAGCACCGGATGGGCTAGCGCCCAATTCCGGGTTTAAGGAGATTAGCAAGTTTAACAAAAAAATCAAGAAAATAAACCAGCGGCTGGGCCGCCCTGAAGAAAAATTTCTCATTAAATGCAGCCTTCTGGTCGGCTTCCGCATTGAGTACCGCCAAGCCATGGAGACTCTTGACAAAAATCCAGGCAATGAACAAGCAGCGAATAAGATGGCTAGAATCCGGCGGCAATTCGAAAGTGTTAAGAGGGAATATTGCTATCCAGATTCATGGAAACTGCCTGCCACTCCAGGGGACAATCCCGAGAATGGACAGAAGATTCTGGGACATATCCCACGCAGCAAGAATGGTGAATCTTTATTTATTGTTGAGAAAAAGGATTATCCCAGCCGCATTCTCATCCAGAGATACAGCGAAGTTGACAGTGACATAGCTCAATCCTACCTCAACGCTCCGGAGATGGACAGGAAGGATGTGCGCTTCTCACAGGATCGGTATAACCGCACACTCTGCACAAACTACAAACAAATCTTGGGGTGGGATAACTTGTTGCCCTCAAACCCATCGCAATGGAACCTAGAGGCTCGACGAGCCCTTCCACAGTCCTACGGCCTTGTCCAGTTTAAAGATGGTAGCACAGATATTCTAAATCGGACAGCCCTAAGAAAGCTTCTTGGGAAGGGAACTGCTGATGCTGAGGTCGATCGATTTTACCAACAGCGCGGAATAACGCCTCCGTGGACTTTTATGCCCAGGCTTCCGGCTCCCGAACAGAGCAAGAGGATCGGCGGTATTCGCGAAGACCTGCACCGCAGAGACTCGGAGGGCGCAATTAAAACCATGTTGGAGCAAAATCAACAGCATATGAAGGCTCTAACGGATGCTATTACACAATTAGTGTCCCAAATCAGCATCAAATCATAGAACTATTAGAGTTAAGAGAGGATTGGCTGATGGGATGTCTCTCAGGCACCTATTCTATACAACAGTGGTGATCTGCTGTGGATTTGTTATTGCTCTTGGTATTTATTTGTTGCTGCAATTGTTAATGCTTAAGACTAGATTTGATTTTAAACGTCACACTGATTTAAATGTTTTTTTAGCTTGCCTGTGTTTTCGCTCATGACTTCGGCTACTAATTAGATAGTGACTTCTAGGGTTAGAGTAAAAGAGGGAGCCGAGAACGGAACAATAGTATGGCTTACACTGCTTTATTAATTGCCTGCATATATAGTTATTGGTTAGTATTTTAGATTAGACAAATCAAGAATGTGATTTAAATGAATATAGATTAGTGATTGATAATATCTTTCAGGGTGCTGACGAGCTTCCACAACTCTCAAGTAGTAACCCGACCCGTGCTTTCAGATGGTGTGAAGGCCTCCCCGCTCCGCGTCCTTTTGCGGGACTCAGGAAGTGGTTCGATTGGGACCCGAGGCTGGAAGTCCTCGACTGAGAAGCTGGCGTTGGAATCTTGGGTGTTTGTGGGATGGGGTTCGGGCCCTCCCGTGGGTGGGTCCGCCATCGGTCCGGGGTTGGTCCCGCTCGGTACACAATCTCGTCAATTTTGTATCGCAGGGAATATCGACAGCCACCAGCGTCGTCTTCTATCTGAAGTTCCGATTGCTCCAGTCTGTACAGTCGTATCTTCTAGTGCCACGCCATTTTTACAGATTTTTGTATTATCAGCTTCACACCCAATGAACAATCCAACCTGTTTAAATTTCTTAGTAGCGGGAGCCAAAGCAGTTACTAATCAGAATATTCGCATGTTACTGGTTCTCCAAATGGAACTAGCCTCACTTAGTTTAGTGTGAAAATTGAGAAAATCTGTCGAATATTGTCAGATATACGGCTAGTCCCGAAGAGGAAATAGAGTACGATTGGTAAAAAGGTCTTATTTGAATGAATTGAGCTGGTTGGGGTCTTCTTGATTATGTTGATTCTTCTGTTGTTTTGGTTGTGTGCTCCGCGGAGGTTTTACCCTACTTAGTCACATGATTCTGGTCCACCAAAGGCCATATTATTTGACAAATATACAGCTAGTCCCGAAGAGGAAATAGAGTACGATTGGTCAAAAGGTCTTATTTGAATGAATTGAGCTGGTTGGGCTCTTCTCCATTATTCTTCTTGGTTATTCTTGATTTATGATTTTTGTGTGCTCCGTGGGGGGTTTATCCCGATCTGGTCAAATGATTCTGGTCCACCAACGGCCATATGTCAACAATTAGTTAACTATGGTAATATTGATTATTCAGCACCTTTCTCAGTCAAATGTTGTTGATGATCCAACATCATCGGATCGCGTATATTTCCTACATTAGTTAGTTTGCATTCTTCATTTGTTTACCTCGCCTTTATAAATGCGAGATGTTTTGGTAGTTTAGTTGAAGCAGAGACCTAATTCAATGAAGGATCGATACTTGCGAATACGCGTAATTTTTATGGTTCACACCATATTATTTGACAAAATCAAATGAACGAGCTGTTTGTGAATCTAATATTGCAAACTTCTGTAAGATCGTGCACATTGAGAGTGCCATTAAAAAAGAAAGAAAAGAAAATCTTTGTTAAGCAATTTATAGCCAAAGAAACCCAAGCAGTCATCCTAGCCAGATACTGTTACTAGTAGTGACTTTCCCATAATAAGCATACGCTTTTTCCAGTCCAACAAAGCAACACCAAACTCAATTGCTAGACTGTTACTGAGGAGTAAAGTAGTCTGGCCGTCGCCTCGGTCGACAGGACCTTCGAACCTGCCCTGTCTCTCGCACCCCGTTCTCAATAGTGGTTTCATCCAAGGCACCTACTATGTTGTTGTCGGTCAGAGTATCTGTCGAGGCAGACTCGCGATCAGGCAGGGAAGGATATAGTAATGTTGACTGTGACGAAACTCCTGGCACCTCTGCTGAAGGTTCAGAGTTCTCTAGGTAGATGGCATCAAATGGCCCCTTCCCATGGCTATATAAAATATTAGAAATTGAACCATGAAAACATTCAACAGATAAACAACAAGCCTCACCAGTATGCACACATGTGTGCATAGATTGATGTCGCCCTGAAAGCCAATGTCGCACGCAGCCCAGGTGATAGTCATAGAACACCTGTCACAGGTAATAATAACTCTCTCTGTGGGGTTATCCACCATGCAGGTTGTACAGCTCACTTTGGAGATGCTTCGACTGCGGAAGCTACGTAGAATAATTAATCCGTCCGCCATGGGAAGTCGGCACAGCGAGTGACGCAAGTCGAGATGGTGAGACCTTAAATGGAATCTGATTTCTTCCAATGCTTCGATGCTCACCTCTTGTTCGACCTGGGTGTGGGGCAGCGTATGGGGGCTTTGAAATGGTGGTCTCCGTTGTAAGGTCAATGACCTCGGGCTGGCGGAGTTCTTGGCCTTGGCGTACCGAACAAGGCTGTTCCTTCAAGTGGAGAGGAGTAAAGTGCCGAGTTGGAAATACTAACATCCCTTGTTGTTGAGAACTCCAGATGCGATCTAACCACTTTTTTGTTACCTGGATATGTTGAGCCTGATGCATCTCTTGCAAAGGAGCAGACGCGCAATATTTATAAGGAAGTATAGATATTGTTTGCATCAAAAGGGCCACTCCCCAGATTTCTAGGGCATCCCAGGATATTGCGACATCTTGTGAGACACGTTTTACAAGGTTTCTTTTATTTGTGGTGCCGATGCAGGTCCCGTGCTCGCGAGGGTCCTCGATACCACAGATAGCCAGTGGTTGCCATTGCTGAGCCATTGATTGGAGAGTAGGATTCTGAAGAGATTGATTAGAGGGTTGTATCCAGTACCAACAAGAGGATATGTGATAGTGAATATGATAGATCCTGAAGAGAAAGAGCACTCTTATAGTTGTGTGTGGATCTAGTAAGTAATGGTAAAGTTACAGTTATTTGTTTTTCTCACAAGAATTTGTTCATGGAATTTGAAGCATATGTATGTACAGTATACAGCGGGCTAAAATATTACGGTGAATTCTACATGCCATTCGGTCCGGCTTGCACTCAACCGTGCTCTTATGTGTCGGGGGACGTGATGGAAATTAATATAACCTACAGATGCCTCACTCAGCCCATTATAAAGGTATTGTACCTAATCGGCTAAACAGCAAAAACAGCGTCAACAAGCAATACAACTCGGCCCCTATACTATATTGGTGGTACGGTATCGACCCAAATCATTTATACAAACCAACCCCAGGTTGTTAACCAACTCTTCCAAAATACCACTTTAGTCGAGCCTAGCCGTACCATCCTCTGGTTCCTGATTGCTTGTATTGTGATACAGTATAGGCAGCATTTCCAGACTTTTCCTACTTCAACAGCTTCTTCTGTCCACTAATCAGTCTTTGGTGCCGTTTAAAGGTATAGGGTACTGTAGGAGAATTTTTGAGGATGCCCTCAAACTATTTTTCTTTGGTCCTCTGCTAAAATATTTCGAAATATCTACGTACATATTATAATGAGCGGTTCCATGCCAATTTTTTTCCCTCATGTAACTTTTTGACGTGTTGAATGTGGCCAGGCAGCATTGCAGGCAGCAGGAAAAACTATGGCTAATGCAGTATATTATCTGATTAAAATGTGCTGTGTTCTAGACACTGCTCGACATTTGTACCGGCATGATCATGAGTGGACTCTGTTTGCACTGGAAGACATAACTGTTGGGAGTCACCGAAGCAGCCGTTTGTTACCAACCAATCATTGGCCAGTAATGAATCGGTAGCTAGTGGATCAAATTGGAGGCCAGTGAAATCATCCTCTCTTCCGGGGCGTTGTCTTGCATTTGTGGATGCTTGATCCACTAAAGTGGTGGTGCCAAAGCTCTCTGGAGTCAATAGTCTCGCAGACGGGAAAAGTCGGCGCTGCAGAAAAGTCAGTCTATGTACTTTTACTGTGTCAAATACTCCTCGACATACTATCTGCGTATAAGAAGGCGGAAATTTCTTATCTGATGTGTTTCGATACTCAGTTACTTCCCCACTGCGCTCTTGAATGAGCATGTATACTTTGGCACCCGACAGAAGAGCGTAGTCGTGGAAATTTTGAATAGTGCGCTCCTTTCGCCTTTTCAGTCGTTCACGGGAGTTTTTGGTTCGTCGCCGTTCCTGGTCCCTTTCTCGCTTGCTTGTCATAATGGATGTCTTTTGCAGCTGGAAGGGAATGAAAAGGCCCTTTTGCTGGGGCAACAACGCGATTTAAAGCCTTCTCCTGGGCTACTTATTACACTAAATTAGAAACAACAGACTGGGTAGAGGTGCGTCATCATAATTGCGCTTCGATCGCCATTATGTGTGAGATGAATTCACACAGCATTAATTAGGATCGACATGGCAGCCTATTTTGTACTACAGTACTCATAAAACTGCATCAGACGTCCGGGACAATAAACTAAATGAGGAAAAGCAGCGGGTTTATAAAGATTAGATTAAGTTTTTGCATCACATATAATTAACACCGGGTTTGAAATACTTTAATATATATTTATAGGCATCCTTACGTCTATGGTTGGGCCCTGGTGGTTAACTGCACTCTAGGCACTCCTTATACTGTATTTTGCACCTGGAAGTCGCAACGAAAGTATTATTTCAAAAGTTAATCATGTGGTGTGGCTCGGGGGAAGCCCCTCACACACGAATATGTATATTATTTCGGCCTGGCTAGTTACTCCGTGCTGACTGATTGCACTAGCCATTCTGGTCAAGCGGCTGCTACTGTAGAGCTTTTGTCTGCCAGCTGAATACGCGTATGAGCTAGTATCACTGATCTATGGATAAGGATCCATCTATATTGAAGGTAAGGTCTCTGACTATCTGAATCTATCTGGGAGAACTGAATAAAAATGGTCAACAAAGGAACAAAGTCGGACCGAGCAGATGCTGAATAATCGGTAATATAGACCCATTTTGGTCGACAGCTTTTAATGTAACTATCATCAAGAAACAAGATGAAGAACATACTACTAAATATGTAGACGTTATTTTCACCATACCACATGTTTTATATAAATTCTGTCTATTAGCCTTCCGTCACCATTTTCTTTGTGTCTGTATCGCCTGCTTTCAGTGTAGTGGCCGTCTATTAATATACACTAATCTCGCCAACTCAAATACGCTTCTGCTCTTAGCTGCATCTTATACCTAGTAAAATGTAATTATAAATATCATCAGATTTTCTCTATTCTCCTTGCCCTGGGAAGTGCCCTATTTTAAAGAAGATTCGACCAATAACTTGCTCTTGCTATGTCTTGCAGGATGGTATTATTTGTGATTTTCTTCTGCGGAGTCCAATCGGTGATGAGGTAGGAAATTCAGGACAAACCTCTGAGCCTAGTAAAATTGCTAAAACAGGTAGCTATGCGGTACCGAGAACCCGGCTTACTTCTCACGAAGACGTTGTCCATGCTACGGGAATACAGAAGAGGCATGCAGAAGTGACAACCAGGGCCATTGCACAAACAATGCCGGGGTACCGGGCACAAGTGATACTCCGGATATTGAAGTAGCTGCTCCAGCTAATTATCGATTTGGAGTAGTGAAAGGTGATATATACAACATCAACATCTCTTAAATTCCTATATCTATTAGTGCTTTTTTTGCATCGGACCTAATAGCTGTACAGATTTATTAAGATTCAAGCCTAAACACCATGGCCGACGCCATTTTCACTAATTCCAATATTGCCGTTCACCATTTGCATATTGGTAACATGAGGGTGATCTGGATGAGGGCAATACCAAGCGGAGGCTACCCTTCCAGCCATAGATACTTATTTTTCTAAAAAAGTAAAACAGCTCTGTTTAATTTCCATCCATAAACCAGTTGGACCGAAGTTGATAAAAACAAGTGGACGGACTAATTCTACATACAGTATAGTACTGTAGTTAACATAGCCCGTTTTAGTGATTATCCAAGGTATCATATTTTGGCACACTTCAGCATACTACGCTACCGTATAATTCTGGATAGGTAAACCCTAATCAAATAGGAGTCTAAATAATACCCCTTTTTGAGCTGATTTTCCCAATTGCTTTGTTTGTATTTGCACGGCTAGAAAGTAACAAAAGAACTCGAACTGCTTGTTCCACTATTAATCCTTATATTAAGCTCCGTCTTCCTTACCGTAAAGTGCAGTACCTGAAATCTCCAGTTGTTGTTTTTCTACTATATTTATGCCAGCGAGGCTTAGAGTACCTAGCTTTTGCTACCGTGGAGTAGCTCAAAATGGTAAAGAAACAATTATATATAATTGGTACCTGCAACGAAAATACAAAGCGCAAGAAGAGATAAAGAAAAATAAAGTTTGGGAAGGAGATATCTCCCTATTCTGCCATCCCTGCCTATCATGCATATCACGATTAAGTATACAGCGTGAGGTTGAAGTAGCGGTCGCTCCATCCTCCTGATATTGTACCGATACTCACATTTCCAATGAGGGACCAAAAGCCTTAGTGGAGACGTGCGCATATTATTGGAGCAAAAGACCAGGATTCAACCATAAGCGGCAGCATGTATAGTTTGTTGTATTATGGCAAGATGCGCTTCCATTATTGGCATAATATTTTTCAACAATCAAAGCACACGATGAGCTATTTGTAGACAACTGATCTTTGTTCGGGTACCAAGTACTGTAGTCTCGAGTGACTGAAAGATCCAATTGTTCTTGCCCTTGAAGCGCACGGCTGAGCTTGAAGCTTTGTATAACGTAGAGAGTTGATAGATTTCTTGACAGGCTAGTGTTATCGAATTTTGCAAAAGCCTCCTTTCCCTGACAGTCAGGGGAATCCCAACCATAAATTATAAGCGGCTCGTATTGACCCTGGGATGCAATATTCAGTTATTAATTATACAGTATAGTTTGGTGCTCAGATACGCTTACATAGTGCCCAGTAAGTTCACCAGCTAGTGAAACGGCTTGAGAAACAGCAGAAATAAATATAGCAATTGAAACAAACTTCATTTCCACTTTTCATCGGAGATGCCACTCGCAGATGAAGAATAAAGAGTAAAGATGCGAGGGTGCTGGCTGATAACTGTCTATTTATAAATCCCTCGTTGCAATTTGGGATGATTAGTTTGCCAATTACATATAGTCTGGCTGTGGGACCCTTAGTGGGCCAGAATCAAATATCTGTAGAGCTGCAGGTTTTGCTCTTATAACTTATGCGCATAAATTACACAGCGAAGTGACTCTACTGCAACTAGTTCATACACATTTTTGGTTGAGAAACTTGGGCAGGTCATTCAAACAGCTTAGCGTATCACGCGTGATAGGTTTCCCTAGTTTAGTGTCGTACTTGTTTTGGTGGGGGCCTTTAATTATAGCCCGAACACTAAGAACAGTCTTGTGTCTTATCTCTATGCCTGCTGTGCCAGTAGGCACGGGACGGCCCCCTTTTGGCGCAAGAAAAATTGTACCTGTTCTAGTATCTAACCTGTTCTAGTATCTAGCGCTTATATATCGGAGACAGAAAAAGCAACTTTAATATTTGAAGCTAGGCAACTATAAATTTATATACATAGGTATGCCCAGCCAAGTAAATTCACGTTATTTTTTAAATATAATATTAACTTAAATAATAAATAAAATAAGAAAAGAACACACAATTAGATTATTATAATGGTGTACAGAAGTACAAGAATAGAATCCAAATAAACTGTCACATCACTGAAATATGTATACCTTTATTACTGTTGACATACAGATTATGTTGTTACTTGGTAAGTGTTCTGATAGAGGTAGTTTGTTACGAGCGTTTTCGTTCTATATTGGATTTGTATTGAAATTCTGATACAGTACTTTTAATGAGAGCATGTGTTCTAGCGTGTAGGGTGAGAGAATAAAAAGATGTTCCAACGACCAAATGGACAGGCGTGGGGACCATGACATTGCATCCTTGTGACTTACCTATCACCACAATAGTGTATACACTATTATGTAGCGTAACGGATAGCCCCATCCTGACAAATGGTTCCAGCAGCCACAGAGCCCATCGGAACCAATGTTCCTCGGCTACAGACTGAAAACGACAATCCATTATTTAGACAGAAAATGCTTCCTGGAGTGCAAGACAGCTCCTTCGCTACTGAGTATTGGGATGTGGCTTGAGATGGATTTGAATCGACACCCGGTGATGATGGACTATACATAGAAATACTTGTCGCAGAAGTCCTGTGGCTTGTTGTTATATCACCGATTGTAGAGAGTGCAGGGCCTGGCGACGAGGCTGGAGAGAGAGCATGTCTCGCACTGTTGCCCAAGAATACAGCAGGACGCACGCACTGAAACCCCACATCGGATACAGTCCCTTCGACATCGTCTCCTGGCATCGGGAAATTGACTTCTTGGCCCTCAATGGTGGTACACTGTCCCTCGGCATTAATGTTGGCTAGAAAAATAGTAGGCCGATCTTCCCAATGTATACCTTGCCTCCCTCCAGACGCTGCTAGCACATGGGCATTAATACTGCTTGCCGGAGGATCCCAGATGGTCACCTGAGCGCAGTTCATATACATCTCCCGATTGCCAATCTTATTAAACCAGGTCCATGCCAGCAGAGCTGGTCCGCGCGGAGCATCTTCTGGGACCCGAAAAGAATATTGTAGCGACATGGGACAGTTGCCTATGATTGACTTGATCACTTGGAATGTCTCTCCATTATTATAGGAGAGGGAAATCTGACACGATCCACCCCCATGCGTTGCCGTCCCACGGAGAGTTACAGAATAATCCTCGCCGGCTGTATAATTTGTCACTGGCGCAAACGGATCCTGACTGTAGCCCTTACAGGGGTAGTCAGACCCCGACATTGACAGGGGCGATGTATAGGAATAGTCCACTTCTCCAGGAAGGCTTGGTGCCAGTGGGCTCCGAATAGGTGGTGGGTCACTCATTTGGATATGTCCCAACGTCTCGGATGGGAAGATAACATATAATGTCCATATCACTTTGATGATAAAAAATGACATTTCTAGATCAGCTGGTTTAGGAATTTGCCGTGTTTTGGTATTTCCTGGAATATTTTATTAATAAACGGACCTGGGTAGAGTCATCGCGCAGAGTAATGCCATACAGAGGGGTTGGTTTATTTAGCTTCCTCTTGCTTGTATTGTATTCTGAATTATGGCTGATACTTTAAATCGTAGTAAAGTCTTCGGGGTACTAGAACTAATCAGGGGGTAGTTTGCACACAGAAATAAAGAAATAACAATTCTCTTTATAGCACAACATGACGGGATGCTGCCTAAATATGCTGTTTTGGGATTAAACAAGCCAACACTAAAGCTACATATAATGTCGCACTTAATCAGAAGCATTTGTATTATTATAGACTAAAAGACGTGCAACATTAATAACACCGTGTTTCCAAATAATTTTGGACAGGAGAACGCCGGCAATGAAATCAAATATTCTCAGCACTACTGCTATAGATAATGGTCCAGCAAATTCACTTTATGTCTAGCCCGGTGACATTTGCTGAAGTACCGGAGAATCATGCCTACCCAGTACCTTATCCCATGCTCTAGCTTGTTAAACCTCAACATGCCAATTGCAAGGAAAAACGGAGCTCTTTTCCCCGGGAGTAATTCATAGCATTGAGCTTGTGCAGTACTTTGGAATGCTTACGGTGATCTATTGTACCGTAGGCGGCTAAAGTTCCTCCGTACGGTATGTATACAGTTCCATGCGTAATCTCATTTTATTACAAATTATTGAAACAGACTTTCAAGAACTAAATTATGGAATCTATACGAGGAGCCATTCCAACAAAGGCTGGCCATTTTCCTATGCAGCGAATGATCAGGTTGATTTTATATTATTGCAGCGTATAATTTGATTCTGGAAGTAGAGCTGGAAAACTGGCTCTACAAGTTTATTATGGAATGAAGGTCTCGCACACGACTTTAGTTGTTGCCGGGCTTGGAATAGTTTGATACCGTTTAGCTAGGGGACTCGATTTAAAGAATACAATACATATTTACAAAGAGAAAAGTTGGATTTGAAGTAAATAGTTGACCAAGCAATTGTACTAGTTTCTTGACACTGTCCCGAAGTAAATATTTGCACCTGACCAGTCACTAAGACATAAGATACAGTATCTCATTTCACGCAGTACGAGGAAACTGTGTTCGTGGATTTGTCCATCGCTTCTGCCAAAAGGTTCAGCTTGCTACCCCTTCGAACGACCATATATTGTTTGAGCATTCCATGGTGGTGAAGGTTGAGAGCACAGCCATGCTTGATCTTCCCCCATTTTTCTGCTGGGCCGCCAATTCCGATAATATTTGGTGGTTTAAGTACCTTTAATCCGTCGCCTTGGTAGAAGTGGTACTGTAATTCGAGCCCATTTTTCCGAGAAAACAGCCTTTTTAGCGGAACATATGCCACGTCATGTCCGGTAATAACCTCGTATATGTTGACGGTGATTCCAGAGGGGAAGTGAAGCTCATACTTTTCTTTGTTATACTTGAAACGGTCCTGAAGAGAATCGAAAAATTCTTTTTCTTTGTATCTAAGATCACTGGAATGGTCGCTTGCAAGGAGGGTAATATAAAGGCGATTTAATGGCTTGAGTGGTCGGAATGAGCTAAGGTCGCGGCCAACTAGTACAGGAAGACATCGATCATATGTAAGAGCTAAATCAAGCCAGGTTGTGTCCTTAAAAATAAAACTCCATAAAGCTGGAGCAGAATTCTCAACATCGATCGGACTAGGAAGGTCCCTCAAGTCGTACCAAATATCCTCTGGAAGGTCCCCGAAGAGCTTATAAAGAAAATCCATGGCTTAAGAGAAAGAAGCAAGACAGTCTAGTTATATCACTGGAATATAGATCTATAGTCTAAGTCTACTAGCAGGGGAAGGGTTTATATATGTATCGGTACTTCACACAAACAAGTTTTCATTCTTATCGCGCTAGATACATACGTAGCGCGAGAAAAATAGACCAAACGGCATGGTTTCATATTTGCACGATTAAGATGGTCTGGTTTTACAATGCACAGTATAGCCCAACAGATTTACATATATGTGTCTTGTTTTGTTACAATATAAGCGAAGGACACTTTGGACATAAATGGTTGAGTTATTCTTCTGGCCAATGAGCTTTATCATTAAGTATTTATGTACTTTGCCCACCTATTCCTCAACTAGTGCGGTACAGTATAAGATTCATCTTTTATTTCGAATTTAGCACTCGCACCTAAAAATACAGTAATAAGTTGTTGGAATCTGGAAAGATTAATTAACCTTATGTACAGTACAAGATTGATTTTAATTTCGGAAACAGGCTGCTCTTCTATTCTAGAATAAAACATGACTACAGGTTAAAATAATACTATTATTCTGGAAGGACCGGATAACTTAAGATAAGCAGAGCAGAATATACAGTATGAAGCTTCACTTTCCCAGTCTATCATATGAAACCCATAACTTGTTAAACTCTATGGTATTGTGAGAAATATTTAGTAGAATCTCTGCACGTTTTTTTTTTTAATGAACAACGGTATTAGTTCTCGAAAAGCTTGTATTGAAACTATTTTAGAGAGGCTATCGTAGGACGTGTTTTGAGTGATACAGTTTGCCTTTTATACATACGTAAGAGTACAGTATCTTACCTTTTCTCTCCTCCCTCTACCAGTGAGCCTCTGCTATCGCATAATGTATTACTATGCAAATGCATTTGCTATAGCAGCGATTGGCTAGTTCGGTGAAAAGCAGGGACTTTATACCCAAGAGTCTTCTTCCACATCATCTCCTTTGCCTCGGCTACGGTGTAGGGCACCAAGTTCTCCACGTCCATTGGCTCAGCGACCAATCCTCTCACGCGGATGAACGAGGCGCTTGAACATGGCTTTTTTCCCTTGCCGAAATTAACAATAGCTCCCGCCCAGTCTTCCATAATCTTTCGCGTCTGCGGTGCCTGCCGAAAAAAAAAGAAAAAAGTGTGGGGCATGGCTTCATATTCCTGTATTGTAACCGACACCCCTTGCGCGTGCGCAGTCTGTACAACAAGCTTTGAGGCGTCAATGATTTGTTCCTGGCCCGAACCAATCCATATGGGACATGCCCCAGTCCAGTCTTCTGACGCAGCTGGGCTGGCTAGGGGATGTGCCAGCATGCCTGCCTCGCAGTAGAGGTTGGCGCGTGGAGGGTTGGTCGGCCAGGATGCACAAGTTGGAAAGGTCTTCTGAAGGTATGGAAGTTTCTCAATGGGCACTGGAAAAATATCACAGAAGGCATTTTGATTAAAGGAGGGGAATGCATTCGCCAGATCCGCTACCGCGCTTACCAGTGCGGCTCCAGCTGGTACTGTGGGTGTAATGTTCTGCCCGTGGAAAGTTATGGACCTATCCCTCCTTATTAACCGTAGTAGAACCTGTAGCATTCCCAGGGCCAGACAAGCACCCGAGCTATCTCCTGCCAACACTATCGATGATGGCGGGATGGCTTTGTGCGGAGACCCAGGAGGCGGTGCCAAGAGAGTGAGATAAGCCTGGAACACATCTAGCAAAGCGGCAGGAAAGGGATTTTGTGGTGCCAGACGCTGGTGCACCATCAGGACCTTGGACCCGGTGGATTGGGCCAACAAACCCGCTGTCTTCCGGTAGTTGGATGGAGTGTTTAACCTGGCATCAATCAGTTACGATCAGGACATCGGTCTGGGCATAGGAACGCGTACACAAAGGAACCTCCATAGATGTAGAATATTGTCAGTGGGCTTTTAGTCTCCACGATGAGCTTTTCGAACTTTTCGCCCTCACTCAGGGATGGCTCAGGAGTGTCTTTGTTAGTATTGCTGCGGAAGCCAGTCCACTCGAAAGAAAGGGATGCTGAATCTGGACAGTCATAGGGAATATTCTTATCATTTGCCTCGTCGATAAGGGATAAGAGCAAGTCGCGGGAGGTATCGTTTGTTGGTTTTGAGTTTGTGAACTTGCTGACCCAAACAGGGCCTTTTACGGGGTCATTTCTGTTGGTTGTGGCTTGCTGGGTGGAAATTGGGATGGTGTGGATGCTCTTGAGGTATTCAGCTCTCACTTTCTGAGTAGCAGCAATGAGATGGCGAGAATCTTCAAAATTCATTGTGTAGGCTAGTCCTTAGAGTAGGTGGCACTAAATAGGGGATACTTCTGGTGAGAGCTATATAGTAGCAAAGACTGTAAATAAGAATTAAAACAGAGGAAATGCAGACCAATTCAGCGCGGGCATTAAATACCTCTCATAGTTATGCAATCCATGGTATCTTTAATTAATCCAGATATACACTTTCAAGGACATATATAAGCATCCCCGCCCCTAGGGATAGATAGATACTTGGCAGCACAAGGTACAATCGCAAATTCCATATTTCCTAGACATCATCATAGGAATCTCATTGATATACACGACCGGTGGCACCACCAAAAGCGTGGTTTTAATTGTTGGGTTGTCGGGAGCCTACGAAACATTTGATTAGTCATGTCAACAACCTGCACATATCCCAGTATCCCAGCGCAACCCCACTATGCTAGGCCACGTTACCCAATCATTGTAACCTAAGTTATCATAAACTTAAACCAATGCATTCCAGGTGATTGGCCAGGGCTGACAGTCTCAATGACTAAAACCTGTCAGATATATGGCTAGTCCCGAAGAGGAAATAGAGTACGATTGGTAAAAAGGCTTTATTATTTGAATGAATCTGGTTGGACTCTTCTTGATTATTCTTCTTGGTTATTCTTGATGATTATTATGTTGTGTGCTCTGCGGGGGTTTTTCCCCGATCTAGTCACTTGATTCTGGTCCACCAACGGCCATATTATTTGACAAAAACTGGTCTTTCTCTTTGCAAAGCGCCCCACATGCTATCACGCGCGATACACTAATCCATTTCGGCCAGCTTATTCAGGTTTTCAACTGGAGTCATTCCCTGAAAAGCCACTTGAAGATTGCAATTATCTCCTACACATCAATTGTTTCAATTTCTGTTACAGTATCCATGCTCTGACTAGCAGATCTTTAGCATAATCCTGATGGGCCAACATCTTGTCTCCTCTTATACTGGGATTTGGTACTAGAAGGTAGATAAATACAAATAAACTTCAAAATATTGTACTGTTCGGGCACCTAAAACCCTTGGGCTCTTGGAGAGCCGTAATTATGGTCCATTTAGGCATATTTTTTGTATTGACAACACCTTTCATCAATCACTAGAGGTATGTAGGCTGACCGTTGGGAAGGGAAATTCCCATGGGAAATCGAGATGGGATTCCCTTCCCAAAAAATCGTCCCCCAAAAAATCGGGACGATTTTTTTGAAATTTTTGGGAAAGGAATATCCCGTCCCGTGCCAAGATCGGGAAGGGATTATTTCGGGACATTAAAAATTTAGGAGGGAAATTCCCATCCCATGGGACTCCCTGATGCAAACGGGACCAGAATTTTTAAGTATATGGGAATGGGAATATCCCATCCCGAATCCCATATAATGGGAATCCCTTCCCGAAAGTCTTGGCAAGGGAAGGGAAACTTCTGGGATTCTACCTTTACTGTTACTAAAGTCTGTTACCTTGTTTCTAATGTACATATGAGTTGGTGTATAAATATTTGTTCATCCAGTTTATTCGTTTATCAGCTAAGGCACAAGGCAACCCGACAAACAAAAAATTACGAGTAGAGGGAATCGCAATGTGGAGAACCTTGCATAAGTATTATTGATGGTCACCAGCATGGATATCAGGGGCACTTTATTGTTGGCTTGGGTGACACCCACAGCAACACCAACAATGATCGCAATAATAAGAACTGTAGTGCGATTAGCCAGCGCTCACAAGGCAAAGCACTTAGTACGGGTAATACTTACTGATAATAAGCAGTGCATACAACTTCCACTTCCTTGCGCGACGTGCACTATCGCCTTTCCTTCAAGCACGTGTTAAAATGTCAAATCCTATTCCCACCGCTGATCAAGCCACAAAGAGACGCCGAGGAACACCCCAATCAAGCTTCCCAGTAGAAGTGTGACACCATTACACGCGGTTGCAAAAACGGTGCACGAGTCTGATATTCTTTCTTGATCAGGCCCTAGTCCATAAATAGATTATGCCCGCTTTTCTGTGTCCAAAAGATAGGGTTGATTGGTGAAAACCGTTAGGCTTAGCCATCTAGGGACTAGCTCCCTGGTCAAGAAAGAATCAAAGACAGTAAGTCTCTTGCACCGTTTTTGCAACAGTGTGTATCTGCAAGTTACCGTTGTTATACTTGGATTCTTCCCAGGAATGAGGCTCATTGACAGGATGGAAGGAATCGGAAACAATCGAAGACCATAAATACTGTGACTACGTGACGGAGGTGACTATAAGTAAAAATAAAACTCTGAGGGCAAAATTGCTGCAGTCGCGCAAGGAGTTTTTGGAACTTGAAGCTCATCACGAAGACCTGAAAGCACAACACGCACTCTGTCCATTTCATATTCAAAAACCAGAAGAGGAGATCAAGCTACGCACGGAACGCTACGAAGCCCTACGCGAGGAGAGGGAGAAATATAAGCAGCTCTGTGATGAGTACGTCGCAATACTTCAGCTTTATTCCAAGACAGAGAAGTCTTAGAATATAGCTACACTAGTAGTAGTAGTAGTAGTAGTAGTATTCATACGCTGACCCTTCGCCTAAGGCGATATTATAGCTACACTAAATTGCAAAACCGCCGCAAGAGTCTTATACTCTCCGATTGTATTTCAAACCCTAATGCCAAGGCAGGCTAAACTATATTAGGAATATTTAAGGAAAAGCTATGTTCCGGAAGTATAGCATGTATTGTACTAAACCGTTAGATGACAGTAAATTACGGTAATTGTATATGGTGCTTGTATTGGGGAACCATGGTATCTAGAAGCTAAGAAGCTTCTTTGATGCAAACTAGCCAAACCCCAAGAAGTAGGTGGCTCGAGGATCTGGCAATCTGTCAACATAACCTCTCTTTGTCTCCTACAGAATCTGTCACGGTCGACGTGGCAATTTGGAGCTTTGTCCCAGGTTACTTGATACGGGTAGTGCTCTGGCTAGTCCATAGGTACAGAGAACCCAATACATGAAACCCGCCCATCACTATAGCCAAGAGCAAGGATACCATCTTTAATAGCGGAAAGCTAGTCTGACGATACTCAGAAGGCAGCCACAGTGCTTTTTCACCTCCAACAATCACCCAGTTGTTTACCCGAGTTATTTGAGGGACACGGGTGTGTGAAGTTTGGGTACAATCATCTCCCTGGCCCTCATCGCTGGAGACCACCGATCGAACCGAATCTGAATGGCCCTTGAGCGTCTGGCGTTCCAGGCCGGTCTTGGCATCCCAGAGCTTGACGGTCGATCGCGGGAGCCTGAGGCCACTGTCTGACCGTCGGACGAGAAGGCTACCGACGCAACCGAATCTGAATGGCCCTTGAGTGTCTGGCGTTCCAGGCCGGTCTTGGCATCCCAGAGCTTGACGGTGCGATCGCGGGAGCCTGAGGCCACTGTCTGACCGTCGGACGAGAAGGCTACCGACGCAACCGAATCTGAATGGCCCTTGAGTGTCTGGCGTTCCAGGCCGGTCTTGGCATCCCAGAGCTTGACAGTGCTATCGCGGGAGCCTGAGGCCACTGTTTGACCGTCAGACGAGAAGGCCACGGACTTGATCGAATCTGAATGCCCCTTGAGTGTCTGGCGTTCCAGGCCGGTCTTGGCATCCCAGAGCTTGATGGTGTGATCGCGGGAGCCTGAGGCCACTGTCTGACCATCAGGCGAGAAGGCCACCGACACAACCCCAGATGAATGGCCCTTGAGTGTCTTATGTTCCAGGCCGGTCTTGGCATCCCAGAGCTTGACGGTGCGATCGCCGGAGCCTGAGGCCACTGTCTGACCGTCGGGCGAGAAGGCCACTGACTCAACCGAATCTGAATGGCCCTTGAGTGTCTGGCGTTCCAGGCCGTTCTTGGCATCCCAGAGCTTGACGGTGCTATCGCCGGAGCCAGAGGCCACTGTCTGACTGTCGTGCGAGAAGGCGACCGACTTAATCCAATCTAAATGGCCCTTGAGTGTCTGGTGTTCCAGGCCGGTCTTGGCATCCCAGAGCTTGACGGTGCCATCGCCGGAGCCTGAGGCCACTGTCTGACCGTCGGGCGAGAAGGCTACTGACTCAACCGAATCTGAATGGCCCTTGAGTGTCTGGTATTCCAGGCCGGTCTTGGCATCCCAGAGCTTGATGGTGTGATCGCCAGAGCCTGAGGCCACTGTCTGACCGTCGGGCGAGAAGGCCACCGACTTAACCCAATCTGAATGGCCCTTGAGCGTCTGGCGTTCCAGGCCGGTCTTGGCATCCCAGAGCTTCACAGTGCAATCGCCGGAGCCCGAGGCCACTGTCTGACCATCAGGCGAGAAGGCCACCGACGCAACCCAAAATAAATGGCCCTCGAGTGTCTGGTGTTCCAGGCCGGTCTTGGCATCCCAGAGCTTGACGGTGCAATCGCCGGAGCCTGAGGCCACTATCTGACCGTTGGGCGAGAAGGCCACCGACGTAATCCAATCTGAATGGCCCTTGAGTGTCTGGCGTTCCATGCCGGTCTTAGCATCCCAGAGCTTGACGGTGCGATCGCCGGAGCCAGAGGCCACTGTCTGACCGTCGGGCGAGAAGGCCACTGACCCTACCCAAGATGAATGGCCCTCGAGCGTTTGTAAATCTGCACTCCAGAAGTCGTCCGTTCGTGGTGCTACACATATCCACCTAGGAATCTCTTCTTCAAATTTTCTTCTAATAATAGACTTTCTGGGAGAGAATATTAGTCCAGAACCATAAAGTTGAAGTGGAGCAGCATTTGCAATTTGCATGTTTTTAAGAATAAATTGTTTGGCGTCGTGTAAAAAGTCCACTATGTCCGATGATGTTTTGCTCTAAAATTTCTATTTTAGTGTATAGAAGTAGTAGATTTCCCAGGCATTACCCCTATGGCTGACTGCAAAGTGTTTATAATACTAATAGTCTCTGGGATCAACTCCATTAGACTCATTGCTTCCAACCAATGGAGAAAATGGATTTTTAAGAAAGAAAGAACCTCAGTAGTAGTAAGCAACTTGCTTTGTTCCAGATGAGTCACCCAGTAGCGACAGGAGTATTGCAGTTCTTCCGGGAGGTATTGGTTAATAGCCTGACGGGTAATATCTGCACGCTGCATTCCATAACGTGGTAGGCCGCATAGATTTTGTTTGAGGCGACTATTCATAATGCGAAGGCAATGTGAGGTTATACTTGTATGCATGTCCTCCTCGTTTACATGAAAGTCGCTTTTCGTGTTAACAAGAAAGTCTCGAAATGATAAATGTAAAATGCGGACTGGGGCATCTTCTTCCTCTGGAACACTAAGAACCGAGTGTAGCATGCTTAACAGGTTATCGATATCTTTTTGGCATATTAAGAAGCTGCCCAAGTGCATTGATCGAGAGTGGAGTAGCAAGAATAATAATAGTCCCAATAACATCTAGAAACTGCTCCACAAGTTCCCTTGACTCGTCATCGTCATCAGTAACGAGGAGCTGATGTAGTACAGGTAGGTATATCTTTTCCATCTGGGATGCAGATGTGGCTGCTTTTAATTTAAGAAATTTTGCAAGACGCCTTTCTGGAGATAGCTTTCCTTCTCCAACAAAGCGACACACTGTGGCGGCAAAGATAAACAAGGGGACAGCTATTGCAACCAATTTTTCTATAACAACATCTCCAGGCCACTCCGAAGGAAGTGATCGGTTGTCTCTTATTTTTAAAAGTCTGTCTTTTAGAAAGAGACGTATATCATGTTCTATCACTGGCTTTGGAAGCTCGTGGAGGACTAGATCCTGATGGTTATCATACTTCTTAAAGCCAAGGCGGATGGGAAGTTCAGGCCTGCTGGTCAGAAATATTCGCAGCTGCATCGAGTTAGATTGCTGGATCCGGGGTAAAAGTTGAAGTATAACTCTAATGTCGCTTTCTTGTTCGCACTCATCCAAAGCGTCGATCACAATTACAGTGATAATGGGCTGATTTAGATTAAGGCTTAATAGTGGTTGAAGAAGAAGTTTATCGAATTGGTCTCTAAGAGACTTTGTTGAAATATTTGGATCATCCTCAATCGCTCTTAAGACACCAGGTGCCAGTTCCCGGTATCTGGTTACTAACTGTCTTGTGATGGTTGATATCAGTCGTTTTGCATTGCCACGGTCTGCTTCGCCCCTTTTGAAGAAGAAGCTCGCGCCTAGCTGCCCATTCTCCTTAAAGGACTTTGCGACTGTTCGGGCGATGGTAGACTTTCCCGTTCCTGCCATGCCATTTAACCAAAATATGCATTTACTCTCTGACGATTTAGCCCACTCTGCAATTTGACGAAGAAGCTCGGTTCTAGTGCCTGGAAGACAATCATCTTCATGCTGATCCGCATACGAGCCGAGCTCGGCTCCACACGCAATTGGCAGCTTTCCCAGAGGTTCTGCACTTGGTTAACAAAGCTCCCCGACTTAAAAGCTCATATAATCTACCTTCATGACTGAATTGGACATTAACCGTGCCATGGTTAATCGCTAATTGCATTCCAGAATTAGGACCATAAAATGAATTCGTAGACTCCATGACCATAGAATATCATTCGGAAATCGTTCGCAATTATTAAGTCCGTTGGTTAGTTTGGTTTTTTTTTTTTGAAAAAAAAAGAGATGTCCTTCTTTCTTCACCCGCAATTAATACTCGACCCCTCTTTGATGTGTTGGCGCGGCTGAATAACCCGGATATGGCGCCAAACCATACACCAGCTACCTCCAATCATATTTATGAAAATACCATTACACCACTCAGCTAAATGCAGTCCAAATTTGATTATTCTCTTTTTTCTGTTACATATGCTATTTAACAAGAGGATACAACTTAGATAAATAGCCTTCCCAAAAAATCGCAGAAGGATTCTTGTTTATGTACTTGTCTCAGTGGAACCTTGGACCTGTTCGGTCCTGTGACGGATATCGCGTGACTGTTTGTTTGCATTGTTTGTACTTCCTTATTTATAATTTACTTCGCATCGTCCCCCACAATCTCCTTCCTCTCTCCACGCTTGAAATTCTTGTTAAGATAGCACCAATCCATCAAGTTGTTTGGCCGTCACAGGTCAGCCACAGTGACATGCTGACATGGAGATCTTCCACAGTTGGATGGGGCCACCGCCGGGTCAGTGTCGGCCCGTCGAAAAGGGTTCTTGCATAATTGGCGTGATATTTCGTGACTGCCCACCTTTATTCGGCGGTGCTTGATATTTCCGAACAAACATAAATCAGAGCGAATTCTGAGGATAGTACGCTTGCTGCAGCCGACAGCTTCAGCCATCTGGGATGTAGTTAGCTCACCGCAGATAATCATATCATGGATAAATTGGAGTGAATGTTGATCGAGCTAGACTGCGCGCCATCTTTGCAGCCCCTGGGTAGATGGTGGGTGGTCAAGCGAAGATCTTCCACTGTAGCTAGCGTCAGAAACGAGAGGCATTCAACAAAAAATGTATCGGTATGGTATGCTACGGAACCAGATAATACAATTTAAGGAACAGTAATACATGGCGGGGTAAAAAATGTAGCGGCTGTATATCCGGTACAAGTAATATAAAACAGCTAGAAGTACTCCGTATGACAGTCAAGTACAATACAATACAATACAATACCGGACCCATGAATCAGGAATATCCTAATATAGTTTAGCGCATCTTGGCATTAGGGTTCGAAATACAATCGGAGAGTATAAGACTCTTGCGGCGGTTTTGCAATTTAGTGTAACACAAGGGGTAATAAGACAAGATGACCAGAAAAGAAATGATCAGAAAGATGCCGCCAAAGAGAATAAAGAAAATAGATCATAACGAACTTCCTCCCTCTTCCTACCACAACCCGTTCTCAGTCCTGGATCCAACCCCGCAAACCCCAAAGGCTACGCGTTACCCGTCCCGCGCAGCGACGCGACCATCAACACCCCAACAACAACCGCCAGAAAACTTCATCTGGATCGATTCAGAACTCGCTTCTACCCTAGCCAGAACATGGACGTACCAAAATTGGCCTCTTACGAAAACCACGCCCAAGCAGCTGGCGAAATTTGGTTTCTACCATACACCAGATGAATTAAGCCACGATAAAGTGTGTTGTTTTGCATGCGGAATCGAAGTTTCTGAATGGACAGATACCCGATATTCCACCGAAAAGCTATTTTCCTTTCACTATGACGACTGTGTATGGGCAGACCTGCTTGAGGAAACAGATGCCTTTGCGGACTCATGTCCCACCAACCAAAAAGCCCAGGAACAACCTTTACCAACACCAACCGTCGCGGTAGAACCAAGAGTCCAACCACCTAGCCCACGACCTAAACCGGAAGAACCACCACAACCCTAACATCTATTGACCCCGACACCTACCACTAAACAGACATATGCCTCAGTCCTGAGAACTGCTCCAGAAACCCAGCAACGCCCAAAAATAGACCTTAACCCTGTGTCGCAACCACCTACGTCATCCTCCTCCTCGAAGACACCGCACGCTAAAACGCGCCGTCATTCAGCCAGCTCAACCTCAACTCTCACCATCGATGACCTGCACAAAAGATTTCACAATAGACCGTCACCATTCAAGTCTACTTATTTTGACTATCAGCGACCAAGTACACCACAACACCATTTAACTATGTCAGCAACAAATGCGTTATCGAACTTTCTACTCTCGGTACTTCCGGCATTCACAGGATTCCTGTCACATATCCAAGATGGAACACAGGGACACCACGGGAGTTACGCAAGAATAATGAGAAGAGGACGCGGCCATGTCCGACCAAGCTTCACTCATACCTGGAGATAGGGTTTCAAAATGAACTACGGAGCAAAGCCGGAGGGTTTTGATCTATCTTAGATATGCCTGGAGGAGCAGGGCAAGGTAAGGAGGGTAAGTTAACGGATGCTGCGAGACGGTAGCGTCGAGAGTGCGGTACTGGGCTTTGCGGAGGCATCCCAGGGAATTTGAAATCGCGCGCCACAAGGGCCGCAGAACGGAACACCAGGCATAGGCCACCACAGGCCTTGACGAGGCTCCAAGTTCGTCGGGCAGTAATAGTTTGCTGTAAATAGATGCACATATAGAGTAGCGATAGGGGTATCCTGCATATCGCCTTAGGCGAGGGGTCAGCGTATGAATACTACTACTACTACTACTAGTGTAACACAAGACTACTGTATGTGACGGTACTCGCCGAATCGGAGAGTATAAGACTCTTGCGGCGGTATTGCAATTTAGTGTATACTGCGAAAGGGGGACCGACTGTACTCGCCGATATCCAAACTACTGTACCTACTAGGTACAGGATCGGGGCGATCGACCATATTGAGGAGAGGCGAAAGGTTCGAAAAACTTGAATTGATCGCCGGATATCCAATTTGTGGTTGTGGTTGTGTGCCGAGCGGAAACTAAACACGGCCCGATGGCGATTCCGCCCGTCGGGGATCCCGAAAACACCCCAAAGACGCCTGAAAACTCTGCAAGGAATAATGACGAACCGAGCCTGGCACCAGCCCAGAGGGCCAGGACAAGGAGAACACACACACAAAACACAGCGATCCCACCTCTGGATTTCAACGTACCAGATGACACCAGTAACCGGGTCACCAACCAGATGGTCTGGGCGCTGATCATCAACCTAAAGAAAACCATCGCTCACCAAAACATTACTATTGAATCGACCAGAGCAGAAATCCAAGAGATTAAAACGGGACAACAAGATCTGCAGAATGAAAACGCAAAGCTACGATACAGACCCTTCGATCCCAAATCGAAGTACAGACCCTATCCACCCCTAAGTCATGGGCCGCAGTTGCAGCCGGCCCACCCCTACACGATCCCAATACAACCGTTCCACGCCCCCGAAAGGAACCCAATTGTGTTCGAATCAGTACTGCACCAACCTTGGATGAAGACATTGATAACGATCGGTTCACAAGATTCCTGCCCACCGAGGCAGCGAACACACATATCAGAGCTGCCTTGCTAAACGCAGAACCTACCAAGGAAGTGCAAGTCGCAGGCATTGGCGCGACGAAAACAGGATATATCATCAGATTCCGAGACGCTCAGTCCGCCGAGGTGGCCCGGAACAATACTGAGTGGTTAGAAGACTTGGGAAACGGCACTAAAGTAGTGAGACCCCGATTTGGCATTGTGGTTCACCGAGTCCCGACGGAAGACTTTGATCTGGAAGGGAATAAGAGACAAGGAATAGAGAAAATCATGGAAGAAAACGAACTCACTGGGAGAGGCTTCCGGGTGGAAGATATTGCATGGCTGAAGAAGAAGGATAGACCCCTGGGCAGATCCGCTTCGATGGGTATCTGGTTAAATTCACCAGAGGCAGCAGAGTGGATCATTAACAACGGACTCTTAGTAGGCCAGAGATATATTGGGAGTGTTGAACTGTACCGAATTGAACAGAAAAGGTGCCGCCGCTGCCAACAATTCGGACACTTGGCCTGGTCATGCAAGGAACAAGTGAAGTGTGGACATTGCGCGGGCCAACATGACCAGCGCCATTGTTTCCCAGGAATAAGACCTAGATGTTCAGACTGCAATGGAGAACACCCCACAGGGGACCGGGCGTGCGAGACACCCATGAACCCTAGGTTGTCCCAATAATATCGAACCTCCGAATCCTACAGTTGAACATTATGAAATCCAGGGCCGGGATGGAAGCCCTGATCAATGACCACCAAAGCCAGAATCTGGATATACTCCTAATCCAGGAGCCACCAATGACCGCATATCACACCCATGTTAACCACAGCGCATGGCGACTCTATCGACCAACATTTACTAATGAATCAACCCGATCCCGCAGCCTCCTCTATGTAAACAGGAGGGTCTCTACATCGTCACATCGCCAAATCCACTGCAACCACCCGGATGTCGTGGCTATCAAGATATGGACCCCAGAAACCCAATATCTTATTCTTTCAATATATATCCAACCAATAGAACTCTACCAAACGGTCGAAGCCAACAGCGCCCAAAAGTTCTAGATGAGATCCAAGCGACCATCCAGCAACACTCCAATGAGAATAATCGAACCACCAAACTTATCTTAGCGGGTGACTTTAACCGTCACCACCCGGCATGGAGCCACCGCCCGGTACATCACCGCTTCGCGGAATCTGCGGAGAAGCTGATTAATTTCTTTCAAACCCACGAACTACAATGGTGCCTGCCTCGAGGCCTGCCCACATTTTGGTCCCTTAACAACCCCGGGAAGTCATCGGTCCTAGACCTCACGCTCACCAATGACACAGCAAGGTTGATCAAATGTCAACTTTACCATGAGCACTACGGATCAGACCACCGTGGAACATACTCGGAATGGAGCCTATTGCCTGAACAAGCTGTAAAACCCAGGCCTAAGAGAGCATATGACCGAGCCGACTGGACGAAGGTGGGCCAGAGCATACTCTCCCTGGTTAACCTTAACCCACAACCACAGATTTTATCACCCCGGGACCTAGACCAGGCAGTAGACAACCTAATTCAATCAACAACCACTGTTCTCGACCAACAGGTCCCAATACTGAGACCATCACCATACTCCAAACGCTGGTTCACAGTAGAGCTTAAAACCCAACAGGTTGAGGTGAACCAGGTTCGCCGAAAATGGCAAGAAGGCTGCGCCACACTAGGGCCTAGCCACTCAATAACCAAGATCCTCTTTCAGAACATGCGACAGAAAAGGCGAGAGTGGACAAGAACTATTGAAAAAGCAAAAGCAACTCATTGGAGAGAGTTCCTTGACAAGGCAGGTGAAGGCCACCTATGGAAGGCAGCAACCTACATGCGCCCGCGAGACGCCTACTTAAGTGTCCCAACGCTCAAGGTGGACACCGAAGAAGTAACAGATAATCAAGAAAAGGCTGAAGCATTCCTGGAAACCTTCTTTCCCAAAATGGCAGACGCTGAGGAGGAAGAACTGGCGGCTCCTGTAGAAGAGCTGCCATGGGAACCGATCACCGGGCTAGAAGTGTACCGATCTCTTAAGGTTGCCAAAGGCACCACGGCCCCGGCGAAGATAGAATCCCGACACTAGTATGGAAGCACCTATGGACGCACCTGAAGGAGATAATTACCAAGATCTTCACCAAATCTGTGGAACTGGGCTACTACCCCAGCCAATGGAAACGGGCGCGTATTATAGTGCTACGCAAATCAGGTAAACCAGACTATTCAGCACCTGGAGCCTACCGGCCTATCTCACTGTTGAATACCCTGGGGAAGATACTAGAGGCTGTTATGGCCCGAAGACTTTCCTACTGGGCAGAGAAGCATGGACTACTCCCAGATACACAGTTTGGAGGCAGACCGGGACGCAACACTGAACAAGCCTTGCTAGTGCTCGCCAACGCTATCGATCGAGCATGGCTGCGGTCAAAGTTGGTCACGCTTGTCGCATTTGATCTAAAAGGCGCATTTAACGGAGTAAACAAGACCAGCCTCGACGCCCGGCTGCGAGCCAAAGGCATCCCATCCAAAGCTCGACAATGGATTCAAAGTTTTATGGACAGCCGGAAAGCCAGTATCACATTCGATGACTTTGAGACACCAATCCTACCATTAGAGAACGCAGGTCTAGCACAAGGATCTCGCTGTCACCCATTCTCTTCGGTTTCTTCAACTCAGACTTGGTAGATCAACCGGTTGATTATAATGGCGGAGCATCTGCCTTTATCGATGACTATTTCCGCTGGCGAACCGGCCCATCGGCAGAGGCGAACCTAAAGAAGATCCAGGATGAAGATATCCCCCGGATTGAAGCATGGGCCGACGAACGGGCTCCTCCTTTGCTGCAGAAAAGACGGAGCTAATCCACCTAACCCGGAACAAGAGAGAACATGGTGTAGGACAGATTATTATGAATGGCAAGGTTATTAAACCCGCCGACACAGCGAACTCCTGGGAGTTATCTTCGACAAAGAGATGCGATGGAAAGACCATGTGCAACAGGCAGTTAAACGAGCAACCAAGGTTAATATAGCATTGGGAGGACTAAGACATCTCCGGCCAGAACAAATGCGACAACTCTACCAAGCATGGTGACACCAGTAGTAGATACGCATCTACAGTCTGGCACAAACCACTCAGGGACAAAACGCACCTGCGGCTCCTGGCACAGTCCAAAGACCGCCTATCCGGGTGTCTCAGCCTTCAGGACAACCTCAACAGCAGCGCTAGAAGTGGAATCCTATACACTTCCCACCCACTTGCGACTAAAGCAACGCGCACAGATCGTGGTTGCCCGCCTTAGACCTCCGGAAAACCATCCAATCCATGGTGTGATAGCACGGGCTAGGATACAAGCGGACATAGGAATCCCG